CAAGCTGCATCGTTTGAGTGTACTCTTTCCAAGTAAGCAAGGAAAAATTATTTGCTGAAATCTGAAGAGGTGTACAGTTATTTCAGAAATAAAAACTAAAAATACTGATCCTTCCCATTTTATATTTCTTAAAGCTGTTGCAAAGAATTCCCACTGGTCAACTTCACGGGTGCACGCACAGCCGCCTATGAGTTCACACACCAATAAAACAATCCAACTAACCACATGACAGGAAGCAATTCACTAACTGCTACGTATTTCAACACAGAAGCTTTTTTCCTTTCCCCAGAAAGTTGTAAATTAGAATAAGGGTCTTTTACGTGGTCTAGATCGAGGGCAGAGTAGACAATCTTCCCTCTGTCATCTCCGGAAAATAATTTCATTCCATTGGGACTCCAAGCTAAAGCCGTAATGCTACTTTTGTGGATACCAGCAACATCGAATCGCCGAAGCTGTGAAACAATACCAAAGAAAGACAAGAATGAAGGGCAAACACAGACACAATGCCTACTTGGTGACTCGGACTGATAAATCAGAGGTTCAATCCAAAAATGCAAGTCGTTCCAATTTCTGTTAGAGCAAACAAATAACAAACAACTCACCACTGAATAGCTCAGACAGCTACTACAGATGAGTTCAGCAGAAGAATTTTTGATTAAGTTCCTTTCGTAATGAAAAAAATGTTTTAAGATCACTGCTTTTCTAAGCTTAACATACGAAGCATAGAACATTCACACTTTATCAGGCAAAATTCTCTGTTTTTCACTATTACAAAGAATCCCCATAATACTCTACTAGGATTCACCATAACCAATCTCACAGTTTAGCCAAAAGCAAAGATTTACCTGTTTGTTTCTTCCAGGCAATGAAGACACAAGCTGAAAAACTGCAACTCGACCCGAGGCTGTACCAACAGCAACTAGATCATCAAAACAGCTCAGCAGCTTCACAAAAGTTATAGATTCACACTTCCCCTGTTGGAAGAAACCATACATAAAACTTGCAGAGTTACTGAGAGTCAAAGAACCAGTTTTGAATAGCCACTCAATTCTGAGCACCTTAGCACAGATAAACTTGATTAGAAGGAACACAGTTAAAAGTTTGTATTTACCTCAAAATTATATTTCTTCATCTGGTTTAAATGTCTGCAGTAGAGATAAAGCATTCCAATGCTGCTTCCCACTGCAATGTAGTCGCCATTGGTATCAAGTGCCGTGAGGTACACCACAATAGAGCGAAAGCCTTTTTGGATCTTTGTTGGAATGGCATTGAGTAGATAATATAAGGGACAAAACTCCTTAAATAGAACTGGTGAAGCCACAGATGCCATAGCAAGCACTGGCATCAGTAATTTTAAGGCTGAAATAAACACATCTACTTCATGGCATAAGGAAATCTGAAAGACAAAACCAAAAGATAATCCATTAACTTCCTTGGAGATAGTAAGTAGTTAACAGAAAGTCACTGCCTAACAAGTAGGCATGCAGAAATTGTCAGATTTTGTTTAGTATAAAAAACCAAAAGCTTAACTCTTCTAAGGGACGTAAGCTGTTCTTAGAACTCTCATTCTTTAGAATAAGCTTATTTTCTTCAGTTCAGTAATCTAAGGATGCATGGTAACTGCTAATTCTGGGATAAGCTTTTTTCCTTGCAGCTTATCAAAGTTGAGAAGATAGAGTAATTTGAACTCAGTTGGCTAGTGAAAGATCTGTATGGGCTGTGCCTGGCACAGAACAATCCACACGAACATTTCTTCATCTATCTGAAGATTCTCCCCTCAACCTTGCCAGAAATGAGAGCACAGGATGTTCACTGTTTAAGCAGGCATAGTGAGATCGAAGTGTCAATCTAGTTTTTATGTTCAGTTCCCCATTCTCCTTGCCCCCGGCCTCGAGAAATCATTTGCTACATGCAAACCCAATCAACAAAGTGGTTTAGAGCTCCACAAAAACAAATGCAGCTTTCCAAGAGGAGAATTGTGGATATCTGGAGAGAAGAGAGCCTTCTACAGTTACTTAAGCAAGCAATGTTAAAGACTTTCTTTAGCTTCAGCAGTTGTAACTTCCTTAAGGAAAAAAGAAACAGAAGTACAGCAAAACACAGAAATGCTGAAAATTGTTCTGAAAAATATTCCTCGTGCAGTCTGTGTGGTATGTCCTATTTTGCCTAGTTAGTATTGCTCTAAGGATGAACATGGTATTTGTTCCACAGCTTCACACGTTGCTTACAGCCTAACTCAACTAAATTAGAAATAACATTGCTGCACTCATTTAATATCTCCATTACTGTGAAAAGCTCTGATGTCTCAATTTCCAAGCTCTGTCACTTACTGTGCTAGAGGATTCGCCATGCTGGCTTCGTGCCCTGCAACACTTGCTGTCAACACGCAACTCCACCAAATCCAAGGGATTACTTCTGATGCACTGCCCATTCAAGCCCATGTTAGACAAGACAGCAGGAATTAAGAGTTGTTCCTGGACTCCTATGTTCTCAGTTACAAAAAAATAAACCAGCCACTGAAAAAGCTAACAGCAATTATCAGATGTTCTTAACTGTGGTAAATCTCACTGCTTGATAGAAAATAATTCCACTCTGGCACTGTTTACAACAGTCGTGACACCTATTTCGTAACATATCACAGGGATTAGCAGATGAATGTGTCCAAACTGCTTCTCAGGCAAGAGTTCTTTATGGAGTTGTTGACTAAGTCACAAACAACCTAATTACCACTTTTATATAATATTTACGCACATCTCTTTCCTACCTGTATTTTAGAACTCCTTTCCCCTAACATTTTCTACCTTCTATCCATACAGACAACTAAACATCAACAAAATCTACTGCTGAAGTCTCCTGCTTGCACCCCTAGCCATGCTGTTTTGCTGGTTATGCAATTTTAATGCCTCCTGGTTGACTTTGTTTCTTTTAACTGAAACCCAGACTCTGCCCTGAGTCCCACACATACAAAGCTTCCTCTAACATAAACTTCTGCCATAAACTCCCCAATTACTGCTTCATGAACTTCACGTTTATTTCTTTAATTCCTCTTTCTCACCTCTTCAGCTGACATCAGCCTCTCACCATGCTAAGATGCTCCCGCACCTGGAACTGCAGATTTCCCACCTGCCAAAGGACCTCATAGTCCTTAAAATTCTCTCTCTCTCATTTTCCATTCATTACTCTTACAGCTCAAATGCAGTTGTTGAAAAAATAACCTATTACAAACTACAGAAACTTCTATAACTCAGAAAAAAGTGTGCTCTCCTTCCTCCTACAATAACCCTACCTGCGTTTTTTCCTGTGTTTACAATGAATTGAAAAAAAAATATATATATATATATATATGGGGAAGTATTTGATAATAGTACCTTATCCCCATCCCAAAGCACTGTAAGGAATTATTTTTTGTTATATACTGAATTAAACTTGAAAAATGCAGTCAGGTTAGGGGTCTCATTTCTCCTAAGATTACTGTACAACATTATCACTCTCCTCTAATGAAGAAGTTGTAAACACTAATGTTTATTTTTCTTTTCTATAATTTACTCATCCTATACAATTGAAATTGCATTAATAAACTGTAATTTCTTGTCAACAAAGAAATTAGTTTAATCTTGAGTACTTGCACTGTTTGTGTAAAAATATAACTGGAAGCTCCAATCACCACTTTACTAAAAATACTGCTAATTAAGCCAAACAAATGTATAAGGGAGCAGGGAATCGCAGCACAACCCTACACACTCAGACGCTTTTTGTAAACGCAATCATTCTCCTCTACAGTCTTCAATCTCTAATTACACCTACACATCATATATGGTTTCCTATTTACTATCAAGATTCTATTTTATCTTTGTTAACCAAAGGCAAGCAGAGGGCTGTCTCTGCAGACAGCTGTTGGCTCAGCAGCACTGTGTCAGCACTCACCTGGAGCAAGCACTAAGCAGTGGATGCAGAGCGCAGGCAACACCTGATGCTGCCCATTGAAAACCAGATCAGAATCCTCCCTTGGCAACTTGCAGACAGCACTTAGGTATTGTGTTAAGTGAACATTTTGAAAAGCAGAGCTGTTGCTGCCTTTCCTTGCAGAGGGCTCAGCGTTGCCTCACAGGGACGGCCAGTGTGGGGGATAATCCTGCGCTCAGACAGACGCTCAGCTGGCTGTGTGTCACAGACTCAGCACGAGAGGCCAAAGCTGTCGCTGCTTTTCTCCGAACCAGGCATCCTCTGTATACAGCTCTGCTGTTCAGCTCTTCGACAGAAATAAATCCCGTACATTCAGGCCCTTTGGAGAGGGACAAATTCTGACCTCGGACACGTGCTGCCAGCCACAAACGCTTTTTGTTTCAGAACTCACGTTTTCAGGTAGCTATCACCGAATTACGCACACGCGGCTCTGAGCTGCCCACGAAACGCTGCATTTCTGGCGTTCATTCAGAAGGCGGGGGGGGTGGGGAACACAAACAAGAAACAACGCTGGGTGACAGGGGCTGCAAAAAGGCCGATCAGCGCTGCTGCCCGCACACACGGGAGCACAGCACGCCCTCGGGGCGAACTTTCTCCTCCGACCCTCGCCGCGCCGCGCCCCGAGCTCCCCTCAGCCCTGCAAAGCTGCGGAGGAAGCGCCCGCCGCGGCCCGGATCCCCTCAGTCGCCCCGCGCACAACGCCCGCGCACAACGCCCGCGCACAACGCCCGCCCGGCGCCGCCGCCCGCGCCCACCGCAGCCTTCCGCCTGGAAGCGGGCTTCCGTCAGGCGCTCGCCCGCGTCCCTCTCCATGAGTAGAGGAAGGAGGCGGGGAAGCTCCGCCGGCCGCACCAGAGCCGTTGGCCGCTCCACCGCGGCGGCAAACCGCCGAGGCAGAGGCCGCACGGAGACGCGGTGGCGCTCACCTGCTCAGGAGCCGGGAGCGGTCACAGCTGCCGGCGGGGCAGGAGGAGAGACGGACCGGAAGGAGGGGACGCTGCTCCGCTCGGGCCCCGAGGCATCGGCGGCGGCCCCGCTGCCTGAGCCGCTCGGCGGGGCCGGGCCTGGGCGGGGCCGGACGTGAGCGCACTTCCGCGGGTGCCGCTATGGCGGGTGAGTGAGGGAAGGAGGGAGCGGGCCGGTCCTGCAGCCCGCCGCTGGGCGCCGCCTGCCTGGATTTGGAGCGGGATGGCAGAGCAGAGGGGCAGCGGGGGGCTGCGGGGAGGCGCGCTGAGACGCTCTGTAGTCAGAGATAGGGGTCACGTTGTCCGTGCTAAAGTATCGCATCTCGGAATATGCTTTTAATTCGTGTAAGTAGTAACAAAACTGATAGGTGAGGAATGTAACTAATGTGGTTAACGTAAATTACGTTTTCGCTGAATCACAAAATCGTTTGAGTTGGAAGAGACGCTTAAAAGCCATCCAGTCCAACAGGGACACCTACAGCTCCACCAGGTGCTCAGAGCCCCTCCAGCCTGACCTTGAATGTCCCCAGGGATGGGGCACCCTTACTATAAAAAAACCTTTCCCTCATCTCAGCCACACTGATTTATTTCCATATGTTTTCAATGAACTTCCCATTTTTTTCTTACATAGCAAAAAGCCCTGCTGATGGTACTCCAAGAAGACCTGTTTTATCTGTCAGTGCAAGAAAAATTAAAGATAATGCGGCAGACTGGCATAACTTGATGATGAAATGGGAGAGACTGAATGACAATGGATTTTCTACTGCCAACAAAATAGTCAACATGAAGATCAGTGAGCAGTAAGTATGCTGGTAACATATACAAGTAAAGACAGCATGAGGATTGCCTTACTGAGAAATTAATCTGTTTTCTTCACTACAAAATTTTTTGGAGACTGGTGATAGAACAAGTCTGAGAGGATGAGTGAATTCTTAACTCAGAAGCTGCATTTTTTGGTTCCATAAAACATTCAAATAAGATGTAAATGTCTCGTAAATGCTAAAATAATCTCTTAAGGTAGGGGCATTTGCAAGAAACAAAAAATGTTTATTACACATACCCAAGCATAATGGCTATTTAAAATACTTATGGAATGTACAAAATTAGAACCAAGTCCTACAAATCTGTGCCTACGCAGAGATTTGTGACAGAGATGCAAGTGTTTCTTTACTCTTGTATATATTGACACTGACGCCAATATTACCAAATTTTACTTTAGCAAGAGTTCAGCAGATTTTAAGAAAAATAAATCTGTGTTTTATATGGTCAGAAGAAGTTATAACAGTGATGGTTTGGGGAAAAACAAAACAAAGCAAAACAGTAAAATGATTTTGGTAGAATTTTGTCATCATGCTGTGAAGAAAAACCTTCCAACAATCAGGGTTTTGAGCTTCTGAAGTCTGACAGGTGAACAGGGTTTGTTTGATAGAGTTCTAACAGACAGGCTCAGGAATATTTTGCTGTAAAGGTCTCAGATGTTGCTTTCTCTCGCTAGCACCTCCCTCTGCTCTGTCAATGTTTACAGGAAAGTAAAGCAAGAGAAGTGGGAGAGTCAGCAAGACAGGACATGTGCCCGCTCAGTAGCTGCTCTGGTTTGCAGTTAAATCTTATGGCAAACTGTCAGTGAAAGTGACTGTGGGGAGGTACCAGGCTGTTGGCTGGGCCAGTTGAAGGCTGGCATGCGTTCTCCCCTGTCAGAGACAAGGTAAAGTAGGAAAAGGTGTTATCTTAACATTTGTGAGTGTTTTGGGGTGTTTTTGAGCACAGACTCTAAAGCAGAGAAACCCCGTGTTCTTCTGAAGTTTACCAGCCTTAATTGCTGATATGGTTAGCTATGTTCCTTTCTGGTTTTATATAGAAATTCTCATGAACAACCTCTGAGAGATTCTGCGGGACCAGATCACATGGACTATAAGTCTGCACAGCTTGAGTAAACCTTGACTTACGTTTCTGCTTCAGATTTCAAGATAACAAACTGGAGGTAACCTGTGACAGCAGTACCACAGAATCTGAAAAGCCGTCTCCAAAATACAACGAAGAACTGGACAATTGCTGCACAGAGTTACTGGAGACCTTAAAAAAAATGGTAATATTCATTTTTCAGTCTTAAAAGTAGTATCAACAGTTTTCAAGTACAACATAAGCACATGATGTTAAGTATCTGTTGTAAGCATAAAATCGGGGATTTTTATTCATGCTTCATTGCCTTCAAACCTTAATAATATAAATCTAGCATGCTCCATTTGTTTGATTGCTTGATAGATTGGAAAGTTGTTTTTATATCTACCTTCTGCTTAAAATTAACTCCCCACTTATAATGTTATTTATAGTGTGATCCTCTGAAAACAAGTCATATAATAACCCATTCTAAAAATGCACTTGATGTCTGTTTTCTTATCCCAAATATCCCCTCTGTTTAGAACAAAGTAAACACCAACTTAAAGCACAGAGTAGTGCTTTATCTGCCGTGATATCCATTGCAGCTATCTTTGCTCAGACATTATGCAGTTACACTTTCAGTCTGCCTACCAGTACTTTCTTTGCAGAGCTCATTCTTTCTATAAGGAGTAGAGAAAGATAATTATTATTCTGCCCACCTTCTTTCTGGATACATTGCCAGGAATTAATGTCACATTTCAGTTTCACACTTCAGACAGGAAGTTTTTGCTCAGTACCGAGATGTAAAATTTTTGGTGAAAAACGTGACTTTTACAGCCTTTAGCCATTTTGGAGGATCATTAAAAAGATAACAGATAGGCTTTTTGTACAAACAGGCTACCAGACCAGTATTTAGAATAAGCAGGAGCACTCAGATTTTCTTCAGATTGCATTCTGTGGGAAGAAGCAAAGTAATCTGGGTGTTTTCCTTTTTATGCAAAATCAGAATCAGTAATTATCTGCAGCATCTGAAATTTTAGGGTATTTCATTAATTCTGTATGTAAGTTCCAGCTTTGATTCCTAATTGGAATTTAAAAAAAAGTGAGTTAGAAATGCTGAGACTAAATAGAGTCTTCAGAAAGTGTTTAAAAATGCTGAAGACTACAGTGACTTAATGTTCCTGAGATACTCATTAGTTTTATGTATTCATTGTTTTCAGACAAAAATACAGCTGAAAATGGAAAAGCTCTCTTCGACTACTAAAGGAATCTGTGATTTGGAGAAGTTCCACCATGGAGCTGGGAGTTGCACAGCACCCCTGTTTCACACATGGCCCACAGCGTACTTCTGTAAGTAAATTATTGATTGTTTTAGATAAACGCACTCTGTCGTTGAAGTCATCCAACATAGGACTGGAAAATACACCCTTTGATATCTGTTTATCCTCCCTTGGAGAGAGAAAGTATGTGAATCAGTCTTCTTTATAATTGACTAATCAATAAACACACGAGTGCATTCCTTGGTTTAGGATTACTGCTGATGACTGCTTGTATGAATTGCCAAGCATTGTCTGACATGCAACAATTATAGCTTAGAACTGAGCTTGTCAGCAGCTTCCAGTGCCCAAGCTGCAACAGCCACATCTTTTGTAGAGAGAGACAATTTTGCAGTTTGGTAATGTTAAGCTGTTGGCTACAGACAGACCTGTTACATGACACCGAAATAAAATCCTTGAATGCAAAGAATGAGATACTCCTCAGTTAATTCTCAGGCAAACAAAGAAAAGTAGCTCTTATCACAGTATCAGTCCAGATAAGTAAAGAATGTTGTTTCTGTCTTCTGTTACTATCAATCTTCTTTGGATTCACTTGGTTGCAAAAGGTAGTTTCCTAACTGCTATTCTAGTGTAGAGAAGCCTAACTGCATGCAAACCAGCTGGCTTCTCTGTACAGTGAAAGTCATGCCTTGTGAAAGCCCTGCTTCTTATTTCACTACCACAAGCCAGTGGGAATCTTACATACTAGTTTGTCAACTTCAAAGGTTAAGAATGATGATGACAACCAACTGCTGTCAAAACAGTCATTGTGACTGAATCATTTAGTGATGCTCTTCCCTTTGGGAAGAATAAATCCTCTTAAAGTAGCAATAGTTCAGATTAAGTTAGAAACAAAAATCAGTCTCTCTTTACGATGAATTTATGTGGCAATTTTTTTTAAAAAAACCAATCAAATAGATGATTATATAAATGTATTTTAAAGCCACTATATATATTACCAATGTAACTAGTAACAATATTAGCTTTTACATTATGCACTTCAGGTTTGGTCAGTTGTCCTGTTTCCCCGTTATTCTTCACTATTGGTGTTTCTTATTGGCAATCATGCATTGCTGAAGGGCTTGACAGCATGTGAGGACATTCTTTGGATTAGATAAAATCAGTGATGACTGAGATCTGAAGTTCCTACATTAAGAGAGCATTGCAAAATCTTAAATAACGTTTCAGTTATTTAAAAGAATGGCTATAACAACTGCCCTGAAAACCAATACCACTGCTTGTTCTAGAATTAAAAGGGGATTCGTATCAAAATCACTAGTGTTTTAAAAGTATGTCCAGAAACTGACTAAACTATTCAGCATTTTATGCTCCAGTATACAACATTATTGACTGTATAAGAAATAAGATGTTTAAATGTGGGGAACAGCTTTTGTTCTTCTAGTGATCGATAGTACGGGTGTAATTCAGCACTAAGCAAACTGCTGATCTCTTACCATCAGTGGGCTTGGTTTTTTCAATCCATTTCAGATGAGGTTTCTCTGAAGCTCTCTGAAATGTACAAGAAGGAACTACAACTCAAGCAAACAATCGTACAAGAAATTGCTCATTCTGCTAACCAGGATCTGATGATGGTCTATTTATCATCATGGTTATACCAGCCTTACCTTGACAACAGCAGCAAACTACTGCTTGAAGCCATGCTTCTGGAAACAGGGCACAGACAGTGCTAGAATCTCAAATGTTGCTCGACTTGCTTCTAATGATGCTTACGTGAAACTGAAACGACAAATGGACGAGGCTCACCAAGTAAATTAAGTTTTTGTAAAACTTATTAAAAATATTTTTTGTATTTATTGCTTTGTCTCAGCTGATACTCTTTTCTTCACAGCCAATCTGGTTTTGGTTGCTTTAATCCTTTTTAAGCATATGACAGAGGCTATGGGTGGGAGGTTGTTTAGATGCTTCATGGTACAAGTGCTCCATAATGAGAGATGAGCGCTTCTGTAGTGGTCTCAGGGAGGAGATTCAATGCACATAGATACCTGGAACAAACAATTAACTACTTTCCAAGTCTTGATGTTCTAAAATATCTACATTGTTGCTCTTACCATAGAAATTCACTGCTGCTTGATGTGTTTGGTGGTGCTTTTTTTTTTTTTGTTGTTGTTGTTAACATGGCCAGTGTTCTTTTTCTAACAAGCACTGGCAGCTCAAATTCTTGCTTTCCTTTTTTTGTGCTGCTTTCTGCCTTTCTTGGAAAAAGAGAGTAGAGAGTATGTTTGGGAAGAACAGTTACCACAAAAGCTAAATGCTAAAAGGAATTCAATACCCTTATTTGCTTTCATTCCTAAAGACATAATAATCCCTTTGCATACCACTGCATCAGACCTGGGTGGCACACAAAAGCTGTGACACTTACCAAGCCTTTAATAACTGTTGGCTGTTCTTGCAAATTAGCACTTTTCAGCAAAGTGTATTACAACTTAGAAACTCTGCAGCTTTTCCATCATTCTTTATTCTAATTCAACCCCTGATATTTTGTGAATTTAGGCCTTCTTTCTTACTTAAGATTAATAATCCTAATTCCTCCCTCTTACTGATTGCGTATATGACCTGCTCCTTATATGAAATGTTGCTTTAGGTCTTCCGTTTCACACCGTTAAATAGCATTCCTAGGTGCTGCTGAATCATTGCTGTGCTCTGAAAGATGTTTGCCCTTGATTTCTCCCTGAAACCAACTATTTGAACTAAAAATAATGTGAAGTGCATGCTGCTAAGAAATGGCTATAGCAGCTGTGGTTTGATATGAGAAAAACCTCATTAACAGAGAGCGATTCTGGCACAGATCTGTGATAGGAAAAACAGGGTGATTTGCTTAGCTAGTTCCAAGCTGAAACCTCATAGGCTTGGTAAGGGAAATGCAAATGTTGCCTGCAGCAACCAAATGGACACACATGAATCAGAAGAGTGTTCTTCTGTGTTCAACACAGAGGTTGTTTCTGACAGCTTCATAGTGTCCTATTCTTAGCCCAACTTTCTAGTGTCTAAAAAGAAATTCTACTGTACCTCGAGAATGCAATCAATCAGGGAGAGCTTTGCTAATTTTTACTGTTTTTCTTTGCAAGTGTCCTATGCAGCAGCTGAACAGCCACCTTAATTTATCTGAGTAGGGCCAGATCCTTGTCACTATGGAAACACTTTCATACTTGGAAAATATTTTGCAAAGAAACAAAGTGGGTTCATTTACAGAATTGCTCTTTTAAGATGTGCATAGGTACGTTGTATTTCCTACCATGAGCAGATCAATAAGGTATGAAAACAAGTTCTCATTTTCTGCACAGGTGGAAATTGTAGTTTGTTCTTATTTCTGAGAACTAAGCTCTTCAGGAAGGAGACTTAATGTTTGTGAATCCCTTTGCTCTTTAGTTGCTATAGGACAGAAGATTGCTGCAAAATCATCACTGCAGAGATGCTTTTATATAAAGTTCATCGTTACATTTGAGGCCTCAGATGTAGTTATTAGACAGACAGTATGGAAGAGGAGTAAGAAGGAATTGCTTACTGCTATCAAAGTCTTCGAAAGGCTGACAGAACTGCACTTTGCATGGTATCTTCATTACCTCCTTTGTAAGGCAACGACCATTATTACCTCCTGAAAAAGAAAACAATAAATCAAACAAAATAGCATCACAAAAACGAAACCAAAAAACCCTCCATAAACTTAAGAACCGGACAGGATCTTACAAGCACATAATGGCATCTTCCACAACCCTACAAGTGCAGTGTTCTGCCTAATCGTAATTTGACCTTCTGTTCAAGCAAATAAATAAATGCAATATTATAGGGTAGACAGTTTAATCTCTAAATTGTCTCACTCTCTCATTTGGATTCCATGTGAGTATGTTTTTCCTTAATTGCTATGAATATTTGATTTAAGAACAGTTCTGCACATAATAGGTGCTTTTAGCTGATTTGTCCAATTATCCAAAGTAGTTTCAATGAGGCAACAAATATAGTGTATCTTATCAGTTTTCATTAACATCTGCAAGAGTTTACAAATAAAATTCAGATAATGGTCATTTAGGGTTAATCCTTTTTACCAGATAAGCTTTTTAAAAGAAAAGTCAGTGGCTTGGAGAACAAGCTGCAAGAAAGCATCCACCAAAATATCATCCAAGCATTAAATGCCACTTCACTACCACACAAGATAGCAGAAGGTAATAAATAACAGGAGAACTTTTAATCTCTGCGTAGAGAAACAGGAATTACAGTCAAGGCTAAATTTTTATTATGATTAAACAGTACAGAGCAGTGTAGAATAACTGGGAAGGCCAAAACTTAGAATTTATGAGATGGAGGAAAAAAAGACATAAATCTAGGAAAAAGATAATACAAATCTAAGAATTAAAAGAGACCACCAGGCCCTAAAAGTTAAAAAGGATTTGTTATCCTGTTAAAGAAGTTCAGTAGTTTTGAACCTTCCCATTTCTGTCCAAGTAGCAGTAAGTGTTGAATGCACAGCTGACCATTAGGAAACATTAGCGAGAATACTTGAATACATTGCCAGTAGTTCAGTACAAATCAATTCTTGTGTGAGGCTATTTTTGTCTCTAACTCAGTGCACACACAGCCTAATGCTATTTAAATAAAGATCAGTTGGGCTGTCACATTGTTCCTGGAGTGCACAAGCATGGATTGTATTTGAAACCCCTATTTTTCCAGGCGGAGCTGTGCATGCCAAATCTAGATGCTGATGTATTCAACCTAGCTTTAAGAAAGTGCAAAACAGCAGTCTTCTCGTAATCTCAACAGCACAGAAAATGCATACTTTCAGATAGCTTTTATTTTACCCATACACAGTTTGCCAGTACACAGCACATCACTGCCAAAAAGCAGTACAACTTACTGCATTTTTAGATGGCTAGAGAGAAAAGGAATTGTGTGACAAACAGGAATAGTGCAACAGCTTTAGGATTGCCAGATTTCCACTTTCTACCCACCCCCCCAACATATAAAGCAAGGAGAACAATGTTAATTTCAGAATTTTTGGTTGCAATTGTTTTAGATTTTTATAAACATAAGTTATAAAAAGTATAGGGCATAGAAACAGTTTACAAATAAGTTAAATTTCAGTTATCTCACTATTCACATTAGAAAAATATACATTTTATATAGTCGGTCTTTCCCAGAAGAAAGACTGTGTAGTATTCTGATTTATGGCTCCAATTCACTCTGTGAGAGCAGAACATCTTCGCTTTGGCCATCTGCTTCCATTGCCAGTAGTGCTTCCACAGTTTCCAAAGGTATCCCGTCAGGTGTGCGGATGTGCATTGTAGTACCATCAGAATCAGTTACAATAACAATACCTTCTGCCTGAGACAAAACAGCAGCATTGGGATGAGACAAAATAAGCCCATCAGAAGTCTGAATAAAAATCTGTTCATGTCCCTGAGTCAAGAAGTCATGGCTCTCATCAGTAATCTCAAAAGCTACAGTTTGATCTACAGTAACTGCATTCTCCAGCTCGTGTTGTTCCTCTGTCCCACAAGAAAATTCGCTCATGTTATTATAAGCGCAGTCATGGTTCACACCAGCAGACAGGGTGGTTTCCTGAACAGGATTCTGGTGCAACTCAGCCTGAGCACCATGTGGATAATTTATTGGCACATGTGTTGAAAAAGCTTTTTCCATTTCCTGCATCTCAGCCATACCAGCGTCATGAAGTTGTTCAGATTGTCCTTTCAGAGCAAAACTCTGGTTTTCTTCTTGCGGTGTCTGACATTTTTGACTGAGACCATTTTCCTCACTGACTGCCAAGTCAGTGCTCCGAATGCCCACTGCATGCTCTGAGACAGAGTTGCAGGGTTCAGCAGCTGACAGTCCTCCTGCTGTGCTTTGACTCACCAAATGTACTTCAGCTAATTCTGGTGCACCTCCGGCTTCTACAGGCAATATAATTTCAGTATGTAGCAAAGATGTGTCAGCTGGAATACCTGGTCCCTGCCCATCTACAGGTTGGGAATACTCTATCCTCGTTTCCACAGTCTGAGAGAAGGTACCTGAATTTTCAGCATTGATTCTAACTTCTGAATCAACAAGTAAATTATGTTCCTCCTCTGCAGGTACAATGCTTCCAGTTGTGCAGCAAGTGACATGTCTGTCTTCTGAAAGCAGGATTTCTCCATTTAATGGATTAAGACCTGAAAAGTTGGAAGAAACATAGTTTTGTTGGGTAGTCTAACACTACTTGTCCAAAATATTATTTTTTCAGTGATAATTTTGGAGGAAATGCTAGAGTGCTTTCCTCTCTCAAATTAGCAAGCCTGAAGCATTTTCTATACAGTTTCAGAGCACTTTGGGGTGAGGGGGCCAGCATAACAATACTCAAGGTATTTTTTGGATAGTGAAATATTATTGTGTATTTCAATACGAAAGAGCCTTAAATAGAAGTAGCATTTTTTCCTGTTAATCTTGAAGACAGCCTGGGGTGAAAGTCAGATTTATCTTTTTTCCCCATCTGGCATACAGCCAGTAACATTATGCAATAAAGAACATGGCACAAGGTTGTCAGTTGCTCATCCTCATAAGCATTAATAAACTGACTGAAGCTTTAAAACTTTGATTAAAATTCTGTTGACAAGTCAAGCTTTTGAAGATTCAGAGAAGTCAAATTAGTGTGTAGCTAATTAGCTGTGTTAGCAGATTCAGGACCAGACTCAGCCTGAGACAGAAAGGGCAAAACAACAGGAATTTAGTTTGTTGTGCCACTTGTATGACTTGGACTAAGGGCTCTCAAGCACAGCAGGGAGCTGAACAATAACGGCTAAGTAGCAGGAGATTGAGCTGCCTGTTTTTATAACTGAAGATCAAAAGGAACAAAGGTAATTTTTGTTATGGAAGATATCATGGCACAAAAAAGGAAACCTAACAACTCTAAAAGGATTATTTTAACTTTTTGTACTGCAAACTAACAAGCCTACCAGCCTGTGCAAGCGAAACAGGATTCTTTTAAAACAGAAACAACCTAACCCACAACCTCATAGCTCAGAAGAAAACTGCATGATAAGAAGAAATAAGCACTGTCATGCAGAGAGCCTTTCAGAGAAACAAAATTAAACTGAGGGGGTGAAGTGGAATGGGGAAGCGGGTAACAACACAAAAACAAACGAGAAAGCAACCACTAACAAAGACACGCAAAGAGCAAAAGAAAAGCAGCTCATAGCAACATCAAAAAGATAGGTACAAAGCAAAGAGATGGAAGCGGTACACAGTTTACTAGAGATGGGTAAGGGCTGGAATCCTTCAAGACAGTGAACACAATGCCTCTGAATAGTGAAACGCTTTCAGATTAAAGACCAATGGAGTGTGGGGAGATTACAGGTGGCAACAATCTTGCTTTCTTCTCTAACCCACTGTTTGCCTGCCAACCTGAGGAGCCAGAGGAGTAAAGACAAAGAAGGGAGAAAAAAAAAGGACATGTGCCCAAAGACCATCACAAAAAATACTGTCTTAGTGCCAGTCATTAGCTCCTGCACCTCCCTTGGGATACAGGATAACCTCCAGTTCTTCCCCTCCCCCAGGTCCACAAAGCTCAGATGATTCCACCCCTGCAGTCCACTCAGGCAGCAGGAAGGACATACACACTGCTTCTCTTCTACTGCTCTCCCACTGCTAACACAAAGGTTGTGCACCGTCACCACTCTAAGGGACACTGCAGACAGGAAGCGGGCAGGAAGCACACAGCAGAAGAAAGTACTATTCTCCCAGTGCTGCAGTAATATCCATGTACACATTATTGTGCATTTAGAATTGAGCTACTGCTGTGCTGTGCATCATTCTTATCTTCCCCTCTTGTCAGTGAGGACTTTCCAGTAAAAAAGCTGCTTTTGAAGAACCTGGGAAGCAAGCTGAGAAATGAAACCTTAGGACAAAAACCACAGTAGTTTGAAGAACAAAGAATCGTTCAGCTGCTCCATGAACACAACAGAATTGGAAAACATGAAGAGGTTACCATCTTTTTCAAAGAGTGCACATAAATTTCCACTCTTTTCTTTCACTTCATCTTGACTGGAATAAGCATTATTCACATTCTCCATTACGTCTTCTAACTTGGTCCTTTTGGCTGATGGCAACAGTTCCTCCCCTGAGCTCTGTCAATACAAGAGATAATTAACTGGCTGCCACCATAACAGCTCACAACATTGGAAAAGAAAACAAGCTAACTAGGCACTTCACAGCAGTACTATCCTTGAAAACAAGATTTTGCATTGAAGTAAGAACTTCCTGAGCAGAAAGAATTTAAACACAGTTCTCATACTTTGCCAAACTACTACTGATAGATTTTGATATTTGGTAGAAACAAACCAGCCTAGTGTTAATATCACAGCTTCTCTCTAGGTTTTGGGGTTAGCTGTATTGCGTGACACCTGCCATAAACTCTCTCTGACTTCAGTAAACAGCTGTAAACAACTTGTCCAGCATCGTTGGCTTAATGAAGAACAGATCAGCTCTAATCTAACCACAGGCAGAAAATGGAAGAGTACTAATCTTGTTCGTCCGCCACCAGAAACAACTCCAGATTACATAGAACAGTTGAGGGAAAGGACCGTAAGGATATGACTTTCAAGAAAATGAAATAGAGCACAGCCTGCTCCAGATTTCAAGAAACCAAATCTGGTAAACTGACTTGTTAGAAAGAAAGCAACTGTTTTCACGCACCTCTACCAACCAATTATTAGTGCAAGAGCTTCCCCAGTGCCCGAACCTGCTATAGGTAAGATCTTATTGGTAAGAGAAGTTATAGAATCTGAGGATCCTTCTTACCATGGGGCCCATTTACTGCCACATCAACAGGATTCTTCTCTGTATCGTGGTATTACATGTTAACCTTTGAGATTCTGTCTCCAGTATTACAGAGCATTAATGCAAAGTACATCTGCTAGTTCACATGCTCTGCTGTGACACCACAGTAGAATATTCACTTGAGTATTTACAAACCCTCACTTTAATACAGGTCAGATAATACTAGTGTGATTTCTAAAAACGTATCTATTTCAACAAGCTTCAATTTGTTCTGGTTCCATTTTTAGTTTTCACAAAAGCATTCCATACCTCAGCTAACCGTTTTTGTCCCAGTGTCTCCACAGGCACTTGCTCGCTAACCATTTTAATTATGCACTGTGAACAAGAGTCTACACCGTGCATCTTTTGTTCGCCAGAGGTTATTTCTGCAATTCCTAGAGATTCGGCAACCTGTACAAACAGTTACAGGAAAAAATAAGTGACAGTTAGTCTCTCCAATCTCAATATATTTCTTCAAACTGAACTACAAGGACAGAATTTCAGTCTGACAGCTCAATTAAGTATTTAACCTGCTATGTTTTCTACTAACTTCCGGATTAATAGAATATTTCCAAGTGAATATTAACAGGTGAACTCAAAGACACTGGTTACATACAGAATCCAAGAATGGTTACTAAGAGCAGAGCTTAATACAGAACTCTGTGTAGGCTCTTCATTACTTAAAAAAAAAAAAAAACAACAACATTTAAGTCTTCCTATTTTAAAGGATCTGTTAGGAGCTTGTATGTATTTTCCACATTCTCTTTTCATCTTTATGTAGGTATGCTACGATACGACCTCTCTGGCTGTTATCTTCTAAAGAGCAAATTCTATATTAAAAAGGCATGTTGAAACTGAAGAAAACAAGAAACAGGTTCCATTTTGGGACTGACAGCATCAACAGCATCCTTTTACTCGGTGCACCTTCACTACTGCAAACAGAAACATCAGTGGTAATCGGCTACAAAACAGCCAGATGAGCAGGCAGTACATCTAGGAAGTTTTTCAGTACATAGAGCGAACATGGTGACTTATTAAAAAAAGAAGAAATACTAACTGCTACTAACAGCCTACACAGGATTTCACTTCTTAACTGGGATTATTGTAAGAGCCAGCATTCTCTCTCTACCTCTTCTACTCTGGGTTTTCTGTATGTTCGCTCATTGTGGCTGCAAGTTCAGTGCACAGGTACCCTAACAAACACATCATTAGGAATTGTGTTGGAGGCAATATGGAAAGTAGTGTTTTTGATACCGGAAACAGAGAAGGGAAAACAAAAATACGTTAAGTACAAAGATCTGTTTTATTCCAATCAGAAGGAACACAGACTATGTAAAAGGATAAACAGATCCATATAACACACAAAAAAAGTCTTTCTAGACACAACTGCATATACAGTGAATCTGCAGTTGTTGAAATAGCAGTTTGTAATTTCATTAATTTATTCTCTAACTTTTGTATTTGCCAGTATGACTGAACTGCACACAAGCATTCAGTTTGCGCTCATTTTGCAATGAAACCATGGATCCTTTTAAATCAAGGTCGCTCATTTTAAATACAGCCCCTTCCCTCCTAACTAAATGTCACAATATACTTCTAATGTTGAACACACCCTGCAGTGATGTGCAGCTTCATGGTACTCTAAATATACACAGGTATCAGAAATCAGCACTGCTAGAATTGATGTTATCATCTTTTATATATATATATATATATATATATATATATATATATATTTCTAGTTATATGCGTTGTCACATATTAGAACTGTAGTTTTATTATGGATTTCTTTTTCTCTTTGCTTGGTTATTGTACTTTTTAAACACTACCACTTTTGCTCATTGGAAAACATGCTTTGTTCAAGTTTACCAGGATAAAAAAAATTTATCAGAGAAAATATAAAAAAATAATCTAAAAATAGACAAAAAAAAAAATCGCAGTTCCAAGGAGAACATTTTGTTACCTTAGCATCTTTTATTTCAATTGGCTGCTGGCAGCTCAGAAAATCAGAATTACTGAGGTAATCATAAGCCATTTTCTTTACCATATTATGCAACTCTTCAAATTCTCTATACACATTAGGGAAGTAAGCTTTGGCTGGACAACCTTTTTCAACCTGGAAGAGAAGAAATGTGTTGTTTCCCCCTATATATTTCAAATAGCATGAAAGAAAAATCTTTTGTTTTGTTCAGTGTTTAAAAATACTATCAGTCAAATCAAGACTATGGAATTTTCAGAAACACCACTGAACCAAGCAGCAGAGTTAGACTTTCAATAAGACCCATCAACATTTTGCCTGTGTAAAACTGAAGTGACATCTAGAACATCTACATTCTGCACAATTCTAACTTAGAAAAAACAGATGCATTACTCATGGAATCTTTTTCTGTATATCGATGAAAGCCTCCCTAAAATAATTAATATATTTACATTAAAAAGATAAAATGATAATCTCACCTTCATCAACAGGAATTCATACACTGTAACAAGCTCTGTAAGACGTGGGAGAACCAGCTCCATCAAATCTTCATTATCACATTGTTGTATTAGCTATCAAAAGTCATAATGAGTTTATTAAAGCAAAGTAGCCTACAAAGGTAACGCAGCCCACATTCAGAAGTAAAATAGTGCTGCTTTTCTGTAGGATACACGAAGTTACCTTACACTACAGTGATTTCTTTCTCTGTTTCAAATAGACAGCAGACAGACTCTCAGTCCCATAAAGCAGTCGCTATTAAAAAATGCAGCCTAGAGGTAGGTTTGCCTTTTGGAAAAAGGCTGGAGGGGAGGATATACATACTGTATGTTTATGCAGCTTAGAGAATAGATGCAAACGTAACACCAAAAGAGGAGATGAGAAATACCTCAAAACAGTTACTACCCATGTTTACAGATAACACTCAGTCCCATAAACGTTGCAAACTCAGAAAAGGAACAGAGGTGATGCACAGTAGTAGCTAGCAACTTCTTCAGAAGAAATTCTTCAGAAAAAAAGCAAGAGTACATCTACATGTCCAAAAGACTTTCCACAGAGTTCCCATTTTCCCTTTTTTCTCCCCTTAAAAGCCATTATTAATATTTTCTTCTTAGAAAATGCCTTAGGCTTTTATCAGTGAACAGGAATGCCAGCTGTCAATCCTTTTGAAAACGAATCTTTGCACCGATTCAAAAACTAAAACCAAAACGACGGGGAAAAAAAGATACTTATGAGATAATTGCAGAAGAGAACCATACCTCTTTTAACCTAGCTCTTCTTCTGAATACATTGCGCTCTGTGGACACACCACTAAGGGACTTTGAAGGGGACTGACCAGGTCTGCTAAGCCTCCCAGAACACCTGGATCTTCCACCCACCCTCGGTCGACCGCGTCTCTTCGGTCTTCTGGGTCTTCCAGGTCCTTTTGCTGTTATGGGCCCCCGCTGTCCTGAACTGCTTTCATTCTGTTGTTCTGCCAACAGGTTTCTGCTTTCTGCAGACTTACAAGTCTTAAATGAAAGAAAAAATAAAAGCCTTTTTTCATCATTTTAAACAGTGCTTTAAGTACAGCATCATTTTATAATGAAATTCTTAGTCTGGGCAAAAAATAAATAGGATATTAAACAAATGCAAGGCTGAATACAAGCAAAGGTCTCATTTGTTTTCCTCTACCTATCCGTGTACCAGCTTTGGTAAGCCTGATATTCTTTCTAGAAAACCTCTTTGCCTGAGCAAGAACACTGTTTAAAGCAATGAGTTACAGTACAAACTTTGAGAAATGGGGTTTTCCAGCTAAAGACTGCAGGTACTACAGCAATCTAGCAGTCAGTAATAGTACTGAGATAGTCTGAAGGAGATTTTCCATCATCTTGCATGAAATGAATGCTGCACAGGGAAACAAATACATAATAATGCAGACAACTGAGTTCAGTATTCTGTGCTTCTCTCTTTTTCCAAAGATGACAGAATAGTGCAGGGAATGAGGGTTGTATTTACTGCACTGGAACTCTGACCTGCAAATTTTCATATTTCTGACAACTTCTGTTTTACCAATAAAAGTAAAAAATGGGACGCTGCTACATCTAAAAGATTACACAACTACATCAACAACGGCATCAGCTATTGCTACAAACTGTTAGTTGGGAGGTAACTTCATTTGGAAGAGGAGCTTTGAGTTGGCAAGCTTAAAACATCACAGAAAAAATGCCACTGTGGTGGCTTCCAGTTCAGAGTCAAGATGAAAGTACTCAGTTCACAGAGGTAAGCTAAGCCTCACTTTCAAGACTTGCTCTAGGAAGAGTTGCAGTCCACTCTGATTCCAAATAAGTTTCACCACAGAAAATCCTCTATTTCAGTAACAGAAATTGATAAGGCAGTTGATGCCTTGCTGTCTGTCATGCAAAAAGCACGATCAATGTTAGCATTCTTCTCTGAGTGGACAAGAAAAGGCTATTAATGCAGACCTGCAGACCGTATGTTGGAAATCCAGTAACAATCATGCAAGGAATGTTTTATGTGCCTCTGCAGGAACACTATTCCTGATGCAATTTCAAAGAAAATGAGCTGTCATCTCTTATGAGCATTTTAATCAGCACTGTGTCTAAGTTTGCATATTAGTAAATACTACTGAGCAGTACTGACTTGTATGTTTCACTAATGAGACGTACAAGTGAATGAATTCACATGTATTTAAATTTCTACCTTCAGTCTTAAATAAACACTGTTGTCAGTGGGAACTCAGATGAATGACTGCAGTATGCAGCTATTAAACTGCCCTTCTGATTTCTACAAAACTGACAGCTGTAACACACTTTACCTGTTCAACCTGTGAGCCAGCAGTTTCTTCCAAATTGGTAGGTAGTGCGTTTTCATTATTTAAAGTGACAGCAATGGAATTCAAATGCACTGGACTCATAATTTCCTCTCCTATTCCGCAGAGATTGTCCACAGATATGCTTCCATTAGGTTTATTTAAGGGTGTTTTTTGAGGTACAGACTCCAGCTGTCCATGACCAGGGTTAAGTTTATAATGTCTTGCTAATCCTCCTTTTCCTATATAGGACTTTTCACAAGTCTGACACTTAAACATTTTGGGTTTCAGATTATAATTTGAAGAATTGAACAATGCATCCTTTCCCTTCACCTTTCCCTCTTCATCATCTTCTATAATCAGCTCAGAGTAGTCGTCGGAATCAGACTGATGACTATCAGCCAAATCCTCCATTTTAATGAATTTATAATCTTTAGCCTTGTACTTTGGAGGGCGTGAAATCCGTCCAGAACGAGTTTTCACTTTCAAAGACTTTTTTAGCTTGTCATCTTTCTGTTTTTTTTCAAGGCATGGCATCAGAGTGTTTGTTGAGCTGGCTGCAATATTTGAAGACCTCGCAGGTGATACTGTGGCACGTGCAGTTTTCTGTCCGTTTAGCACCTTACATGTAGGAATCTTGTTCACAGGCACTGATCCATGAGACGGTAAAGGTTTCTGCATAAGCAACTGAACTGGAGACTCAGAAGAACTATGCAGGAAAAGCTGCTGCTGCTGCTGCTCAGGTCCTGTAACAGGCTGCATCTTAATTATCTGGGGATTAATAATGCCAAGTCCTGGCATGCTGGAATTTCTACCAACAGACTGACTCAGCATTACAGTTTTGGACTGGATTGGTGCCAAGGATGGCACTGGCCTTTCTGTTTCCTTCATCTGTCCTGGCTGAACTTGAACGCAAATGGCTTCCAGCTGCTTTTGTGGAAAAAAAGAAGAGCTGAGATTACACAAATACCGCATTTGTTAGATGAACATGGTATTTACCAATATGACACGTATATACCTTTAAAGGAAGGCATAAAGAAATGAGCACACATCATTCAATTTCCATTTCAAAGCATCAAAGCACTGATTTAATGTCAGAGCACAGATTCTCTTCCTTCAAGCTATGGCTTTCCTGCATGTTCAGCAATGTAACTGCTGTCAACTAAAGCATGTAAAGTCTTCTCCCAGGTCACACCGCAGCACTGTTTCCTGCAAGCAGGCTGGTTCTGGGACAGCAGCACTGCTATCACCCAGGCACATCTGTAACCTTTACCAAAACAAATGCAGGAGAACTACAGCTTGTAACATGATGCAGGCCGAACACCAGACCCAGAACACACAGCAGTAAGTGCTCTGTTCAAGAAAACTTTATGACGACCAGTACAACGCACTTCATGCTTCCTCTTATCCCTTCCTTCCTATTCTCCCCTCTTCCAAGTTCCTGGCTTAGCTCTGCCCAATCTCCACCAGCTCCTCTCCCCCAAGGGAGCAGGAAACCACCTGCCTTACCCTGGGGTCAAAAACCATTAAAAATGGAGATGTCTTAAGACCACCCAGTCCAACCCCAGCCCGTCCCCGCTGACCACGTTCCTCAGCACCACTTCTCCGCGGTTCCCGGAGAACACCTCCACGGACGGCGATTCCCCCACCTCCCCACGCAGCCCGTGCCGCCGCATCGCCGCGCTAAGACCTCCTTCCCGCCCCAGAGCCAGGCGGTTCCTCGGAGCCCTACCTGCCGCGGGAGGAGGCGGGCGGGCGCCGGTGCCGCGCCGCGCTGCAGGGCCACGCGCTGGGCCACGCTCCGCAGCTGCAGGGCCGCGTTCTGCACGACGGCTGCCGGCGGTGCGGGGGGCTCGGGGCCGCAGTCCCGGAGCGGCGGCGACGCTTCCCGCAGCTCCCGGGCCCTGCTCACCCTCTCGATCACCCTCCGCAGCTCCGCGGGGGCCAGAGGCGTGGCGGAGTGGCGGGACGGCGAGGGCGGCTGCTCCTCCGCCCTCGCGTAGAGGACGGTGCCGCCTTCCTGAGCGGCCGAGCTCCGAGCCGGCTTCTCCGGAACCGCCCGCAGCTCTGCCGGGGCCGGGAGGCCGCCGCTTTCTTCCGCCGCCGCCGCGCCCAGGGTCGCCTCCCCGCAGGCGGCTCCGGGGGGCTCGCCCTCAGCCGGGGGAGGAGGACGCGGTGGCGCGTCGGTGCCCCCCTCCTCTGGAGCCGCCATCTTGGCAGGCGTCAGCAGGCGGCAGCCGCATCGACCCCCCCGGGCGGCTCTCGGAGGCGCGGGGCGCAGTCAGGGCATCGGCGGCGCGCGGGCCAATGGCGCCCCCGGGGCGGGGCCGCACAGTACCGACGGTGGCCTCGAGGGGGCAAAAAGCTGCGGAGGCGCTTCTGGGGCGTGATCGACACGCGAGGGTAAACGACGACGGCGTGACGTGGAAGGGGGAGAAGCGCGCACGCAGCCTTGAACCGAAACACTACTGTGGGGGGGGGAAACGTAACAAAAACTCTATCACCCTCTGGCCCGTACGGGGATCGAACCCGCGACCTTGGCGTTATTAGCACCACGCTCTAACCAACTGAGCTAACCGGCCCGGTGGTGCGAGTCGTTTCTCCCTCAGTCCCTAAAGGGATTTAGCCCCAGTCTTCTAAGTGTGCTCCATTCCTTGCAGTGGCCGTATTACAGATGAAGAGTTCTTTCAACTCGAAAGCACGGGAGAGAGATGCGCAGAGACCCAGGTGCCACAGATTCACCTCCCTAGGAAGCATGGAAAACACTGAGCGCTCAGTGTATTTTTTGCAGTTTGCAAGCCTGTGTCGCCCGCAGCTCCTTTCAGCAGCAATTGCTTCGTATTTCAGGAGCATCCCTTCAGGGTTTGTCAGAACACCTGCGTTGGAGGATGCGACCAAAGAACGGAGCGCGGGGGCTACGCTCGGTACGACTCGGTGTGAGCCGGGCGCCCTCAGCGATACCATTCCCACCCACTGCGAGCCAGCGGCGCGCACACCTGTAACGGGCTGCGTTCTACAGCCTGCAGTGGCAGGCGGGAGCCGCTAGGGATCAGACGGCCATCGAAGATAGATGCTGGGATGCAAAGGCGCGGTAGCGCCCGGCACAAACCAGAGCTACAGGTGCGGCATTCAGCATCAGGGAACGCCTTTCAGCTAGAAGCGAGGGCTGCGCAGACCGCTCACAGACTCCCTCCATCCTGGGAGAACGCCTGAGGAGAAAAATCATCCCACAGAGGGGCACAACGCCACACGGAGCAACCCCGCGCCCGACCGCCGCCCCGCCTCCTCAGCCCTAAGGCGCACGCGCAGCGGGCGGGGCAGCGCCGGCTGCCTCTCGCACTGCGCCTGCGCGAGGCCGAAGCCCGGGGCGGGCGGGCGGGCGGAGCCTGCGCGGTTGCCAAGGCGACGGGAATACAACATGGCGCGCTGAGGGAACGGCTCGGTGGGGCTCGGGGACCCGCAGGCGAGCGCAGGATGAACAGTAAGAGGCTGCGGGGGCGGGCGGCGGGATCCGCTCGACCCGAGGGCGGGAGGCTCCTCGCGAATCGCAGCGCGAGCTCGGGCGTCTCTTGAGGCGCCACCGCCGGCAACCTCTGCTAAGGGGCCGGGGCGGCGGCGGTGCTTTGAGGCCCCGGAGGCCGCAGCCCCGAGGTTTCCTCATCTTGCTGCTGGATAATGCTGTTCTCCTGCACGCCCAGCCTGCTAACGAACGTTTCTGCAGGGCAGCGGCCTGCCCGCCTCCCAGTCTCTCCAATTGCCTTTGCAGAAATCACGAGTTCCCTCTTTCTTACCACGATCTGCAAGCCGTGCCTTCCATTGCTTGGCATCGGTCTTCCTATACGCCATGTCACGCCCCACGCTCTCAGCAGGTCACTGAGTGCCTCAAGTGTCACAGCCTGCTGACCGTGCCCGAGGGCAAACTTTCCATTGCTGTCTTCATTTCTGCCTTCTCACATGCCTTAACACTACACCTAAGCACCATGGCTTTTTCTTCCTCAGCTTCATTTCAACAGAATATGTGCCTTAGGTGTTATACCACCCTATTGACTGCTGTAGTGCTGTCTTTTCTGTCACTTCACAATGGATTCTTCAGTTCCAAGTTGAAGGTGATTTTCTGTGCTCTCTAGATACAGAGACATGGGCCCAGACTTTGCATTCTATTACTCACACAACTTTCATTGCTCTTACTTTCTGGCTCCTGTAGCTTTTTGTACACCAGAATGCCTTTCTAGTGAAGGATTGCTTCTCTGCCATTCTCACAGCCACAGCTCTGGTGTTAGACTAGTTCAAGTTGCCAAAACTTATTCTTGTAAATAACTTGTGTATCCTAGTCCTTATTTTGTTGACTTGTATGGAATTTTATTCCATTTTCCTAATCCTTGTCTGCCTTCTCTAATCATTTGAAGCCTCTTAGACTCTACACATGCTGAAATAGCCAGGAAAGAAAGGTTAGTTAGCATCTGCATTGCTACAGATGCCACTAAAAAAAAAAAAAAAAAAAAAAAAAAAAAAAAAAAGAATCGGGGATTAGGTCTTCTGCATTTCTTGATGTTATATCAGCAAGAGAAACACTGTTTACTTAATTTAATCCTTAAAGTAGTCAGTCTTAAAACACTCAGGAAATTTTAAAGTCTTATCTCTCTTCACCACAAATTCAGCTAAACTCACTGGTAGTTTTGTTTTGCAGCTGTATTAAACATCATAGCTTAACACTGAAATATTTCAACCTGATTATTCTATTTCAGTGTTTGCTTGAAGTTACTGTAATTTACTGCTTAATGGTGTCTGTCGTTAGAGGCAGTGAAACTGCTGCTGATAAGTTCTTTGCAATACCATGCAAAGCATTACTAGGAATATCTATAATCACATACAAGAAAAAGTTGACTTACCCAGCTAGTGATGAAGATCTCTGGCTATAGACCACTTCTTAACAGACAGCCGTCACCCAGGAGACATTCTTCCTTCCACGGAAAGCCCTTAAGTGAGCCCAGGGAGGTGTGGACCCTGGGTCCACCTCTTCCAGTCACGTGGAAAGCACAGATGAATCTCTTGCACCTGTGCTTCCTGGGCCAGCCACCCCCTTCACCAGGTGCCCAATCATCATTTTGGGCTGTGACATAACAGTTCCCCTATAGACTAGTTGCCATCTAATCACTTTTGAGGAATCGGTTATGTGGAAGTGAATGTTTAAGGATCTTCATAAATCTTGGCTTGTGGACTTCAAAATTGGTGTTAAATTGTTGGGATGCTGCAAGTCTAATTTGTTTTCCTTCTCAATCTGTAAAATCACGCTATTATTCTTATAATGTCTGAGTTCCTCTCAGTTTCTCATTAAACAATAACTTGTTGTGCGATCACTCTCCCATTTCCTCCCTAGGAGAAAGGCTCTCCCATTTTCAGTGACTTGCTTTGTTAAGAGTTTACATGCTAATTTTATGCATCAACAAAAAACCAACATTTTGACTAATGCAATTTTCATTTCTGATTCTCAGCTGTCATTCTTGTCACTGGTGGAGAGGATGGCTCTCCAGTCTTTTCCTCAGGTGTTTGTTATTTGCATGTAATCTTTTTTTGCATGCCTTGCAGCATTTTATTGTAAAAATAAGTAGACCAGTGGTGGTTTCAACCTAATGGGCAGATAATTGCTTCAATTGCTTTATCGCTCCTGTCTTCAAAGGAAGAGAGAGAGAAAAGGTGATGGAAAAGTGCTCAAGGGTCAAGATAAGGACTGAGTATTAATCACAAATTGCTATAATGGACAAAACACTCTCAGCATAGGGAAATGAATGCAGTTCGTTGCCCATTGCTAACAGACCAGAGCGGTGAGAACCAGAAGCCAAGTAAAACTACCTTCCTCCCGTCCACCCTCTTCTCCCTCCTTCCCTGGAGCAGCACAGGGAATGCAGGCAGTCCATAACACTCCATCGCTGCTCCACCATAGGCCTCCCCTGGGCTGCAGGGTGCTTCTGCTCCATGCCTGGAGCACCTCCTGCCTCACCTTGGTGGCAGCAGGGCTGCTTCTCTCCCTCCTCTCTCCCGGCTGCAGTTCCTCAGCTGTTTTTCCTTCTCTTAAATCTGCTCTCCCAGAGGTGCACCCAGCATCGCTCATGGCTCAGTTGGTCAACACATAACTCAACTTTTATGGCTACTTGGGTATTTTTTTGCCATGGAAATTGGCTCTGCTGCTGTATGAGCACGTAGCACAGCCATTGTGTTTGTGTCTTAGTGGAGATCAGTTGCTAGCAAAAACTCTATTGATAAACCTTCTTTAGAAATGTTGGACTTAAATACTTTGATTTTATGACTCATGTTTTATATTTAGCAATTTAGATGGGAAATTAAAACTTAAGGAGGGCATGTGCTTCTTGCTTGTGGTCCTCAGAGCTCACGAAAGATTAGAAATCACCCTGCTTGAAGCACTGCCTGCCCAGTTTCTGCTAACAGCCACACGTGCTAAACCCCATGGTCTCACCCATACTTTGGAGTCTCTGCTATTGTCTCCTTTACCCATAATGGTTTTCAAATTCTATTTCTGCTTCTAATAATTGTTCCATATATAACTGTGTAGAGAGCGCTAGACTGTGTGATTGGTTTTAAATTGCTCTGTTTTCTCTCTTTTTCTAATTAGAAGGCCTAATTTGTGAGTTTAAGGGGAAAAGGGGAGGAAACAATGTAGGAAATGAAAAGACTGTTTGAATTTATGGAGAGGACTGGGTTTTAAAGAAAATCAGGGCAAAGAAATATATATATTTTTTACACTGGAACAGCATGAAGCGTGATAATCAGAAAACCTCAGCAGCAGATGACAAAAACAAGACAAGCAAATGACAGTTCTCCCAGAAGCTTCTTTGGAGAAAGGGGGGGTTGCGTGGGGACAGTTTCTGCTAATTAAAATGTAAGCACTTGCATCACAAGGTAAGAAGACTTTTAACAAGTGCGAAGCTTGGGGAGGAGAAAAGAGGTGAAGGCAACACAAACTGATTGTTAGTTGGAAAACATCATTAGAATGTCTCTGCCTAAGTGACTTTTCTCTCTGCAGAATTCTTTGGCAGGCTTTCTCTGCTATGAGGCTGTATTTATACTTGTAAATTAAACATATCTGGAAATCTTCTTGGCCACAAAGAGCAACTGGCATGAAATGACCCACATCTACACTAGTAAATTCCCTTCTCCTCCAATCCAAGCAGTAGGACAGAATCTGATCGAGGAGTGGCCTTAGAAGGAGTGCTCCCATCAGGTTAGGAAGGCTTCTGGGAGGGCAGTGTCGCAGAGCACATCCTGGCTCCATGCTGTCCTGGCAGCTTATGCAGACAGCTGCACTTCCTTGGAGTTACTGCTCTGCTGCTTGACTCCCCAGAGGGGCTCAACAGGGTAGAGGAGGTCTCCTGCTCTGCCTCCCTGGGTTTGGATCTAGCTCAAAAGCAAGAGCAGCATAGAGCTTAGCAGAGTTGGGTTTTGTGCAGGTAAAATAAATGGAAGAAGTATCAAGGGTAGAATCTGTGGGTGCTATAAATAAAGGGAAACAGGAGGACAAGGTGGGTGAAGAGAACCAGTCAGTGGGATTGAGAACAGTTGATTAGAATGCTGGAGGAGAATAAAGGAGGAAAGAAATGTCAGTTCTGAAGGAGATCAGAAGAAGACTGAGAATATTTAAGTAAAGCCTTATTCTTGGCCTACTTGGATACTCTTGACTGAAGACGATAGGGGAATAAAGCTTTAAAACCAGTAATTACTTTTCTTTAAAAAAGAAAAAAGTGAAACAATGCCAAGATACCCTTTCAAGAAAATGATACATTTCTGAAAGACACAAAGCATAAATGCATTCCTCAGTTGCTAATGCACTGTAAGAGAAAGAAAGGATAAGAAGTGCCACGTGGAGAGCATCGTGTCTCTGAGCGAGGAGGCACGGTTACTTCTGAACCTTGTTAGTGTATTTCAGGAACACAAGTTCATGTAATATGAGCAGCAAAATGTTGTTTTCTGTTATTCCTTATATTTCCTCTCAAAGAAGTTTTTTTCTGTGCTAACAGAAAAAAAAACAAACAAACAAGCTTTTATTAAAAAAAAGATTCCAGTAGTCAGAATTTAGCAAATTACTCTGGATCGCTATGCGGTCGTTGTAACAATTTCTACTGTAAAGTGAAACAATGTGTTTTTGTTTTTAGAATACAAACCAGTTTGTAAGATAGGAGAGGGAACGTTTTCTGATGTCCTGAAGATGTTGAGTCTTAGAGATGGAAAGTACTATGCATGTAAATGCATGAAACAACATTTTAAAAGGTATGCGTAACTAATTCTACTCCTGCAGGGTATCTGACTGAAATCTAGTGGGGAAATGAAAAATAAGGATTAAGTGAAGGTTTTTGAATACTTGTGTAGTAAAAAGGTTTGCATGCAGTGTAGGAAGAGATCTCTGCTGCTTATTATGAAGGGCCTTCCTATTTGGCAGTGGGGTTATTACCTTGAGTACTTGAACTGTTGTCCTCTACTATAGCAAATGCTGCCTGACCACTGCTGGATGGAAGGTTAAACAGGAAAAGTAGGGGCCACGTGGAAGCAGAGACATTCACTTGACATTCTGCTTCAAATATGCATGCACCCAACTCTGCTTTTGTAGGTCACTGACCTTATTCTCACTTAACTCTCTTAACTTCCTGCTGCTCGCAGTGGGAGTGACACGTTGGTACAGAAGACGTAAATTAGGACATTTTGCTCTGAAGTGAAACTTCACTAATGTCAGCGGTTTACTGTCTCAGAACTTTAGAGAAGGAAAAGTGGAAGTGTGAAAAAATTACTGTAAGCTCAAACAAACACAAAAGAACCCAAATATCTTCAATTAATGATGTGACTTCTGATTCTCTGCCGCGTTAGACAACTGTTGGGTCATTTATGCATTACCTACTACTAACCAGACTTGTCCAGTTTGTGATCAAAAGAGTACTGAAACTACCTGCTCAGCTACATCAAGATCAGGAGGTATGCAGTTCGGTGGTAGGGAATAACAAGCCAACTTGTGTTCTCACGTAGTACGGTTTTAATGTTGTTTAGGCCTTTAACCCTCTGGTGAATTGGCTGACAAATTCTCTTGGTAAACTCTTCAAGAAACAGACAAGTGTTTTAAACAGAACAAGCCCACTCAAAGCATTTCTCCTGGTTTCAAATTGGAAAATCACGACTTGGTGTTTAGCTTTAAAGTCATGAAAAAGCTTATGTCTCCTCTTCTGATCCATTTAACAGTGTACAAAGCTCTTTGTTTCCTCCTCCCTCCTCAGAGGTTCTATAGCATTTAGTTTTGTTGTTTATTGTAGTCTAGGGGGGCAACAAAATAATTAATCAACAGCTGAATAGCATGTATTTTTCATGTAATTGCTTAACATTCAAACTGAATTTTAAATGTTAAATTTGGCAAGGCTAGACTGTCACTTCCAGCAGCATGCTGAGCAATAATTGGTATGATTTAATGTTTAACGCCAGCTTAGAATGAACTGCATCATATTACGTGTCACAACATTCCTGCCAGCTATGTCCATGGCACAGCAGCTGGTGTCTAGAGCACAGTACATGACTGATCATGTTAAGGTAAGTCCAGCTGCTCTGGACTGCAAGAAGGAATGGAGCCAATAATCTGCTGATTATTGATTTGTTCCATAAAGAAACAAAGCAGACAAACAATTTATCTGATGCTGCACTTGTAAGTTCAGTTTCAGAACTAGTGTGAAGTGAGTTTTGACAGTCGTGGCAGGGGAGGACAATTGTAATCTGGTCTCTGATTGCAAGTCAGTTTTCTTTTTCTTTTTAGTTCAACTTTAGTATTGAACAAGTGAATAATCTGAGTGAAATACAAGCCCTGAGGAGGTTGAGTCCACATCCTAATATCCTTACGTTACATGAAGTTGTTTTGTAAGTATGGTTCATTCATTTCTTCCTTGTTTTGTTCAAGCAACATGCGGTAACTTCTGGATCTAGAGGCAACCTGTAGGAGCTCAGCCAGCCTTTCCTTCCAGCAGAAAGAAAAAACAGCAGATCTGTCAAATTCCGAAGTCATTGTGGTATTTTGTTAAATGAGAGCTCACTGTCTTTTGCAGCCATCTGAAAAACACTTCAACATCCGTATTAAGATGACAGGCTAGATGTATTTCTAGCATACCTAAACTTCATGTTGTAACATAGAATACTTGCTGATGATTTGAACCCTTGTCCCAAACCCACTGAGTTACTTTAACTACACAACACTGAGTCTGCTGGAGACTCTTGGTTTGGCAAGCTCAGAGCTTCTTTGCTGAAATATGCCCTGATACTTCAAGGATCTTGGTTTGGCCTGGCGTTTTGAAGTCGGGATCCAGACAAGCTATTTGGCAGCATCATTTTGTAGGTAGGTTTACAGATACTCCTTTGCAAATAGTACACGAGAAGCTGGTAGTCATGTCAGCAGCTCTCTGGAATTCTCAGCTTCAGCTGCTGTGATGTTAATACAATGTCATCCAGAGGGCCAACCAGCTCACCTAGCTCTTTTTCAGTCTGTGAACTGGATTGCTGATTGTACCCTCACTCATTAGTTGTCAGGGTTAACAGCATTGCAGAGGGGTGTGCTTTAATGCAATTATCTTAGAAAAACGGAAGGCCAAGAGACATCTGCCTCTACAGGGCAGTGAAATGGAAAATAAAGTATTAGATAGAGTATCATCTACCTAAACTGCTGTGAGCAGAGATTGCAGTCAGATGCTTATTTCCAGTCAACACGCTACTGATGACCAAGCTAGAAAGTATTTTCATGTATGGCATAATGTGTTTTCTACCTTGTTGTAAGGTTGTATCACTTCAATTTACTGGAAATTTCTTGATACTGAACAGTGTTGTGTAGCTCAAAAAAAGCATTCCAATACCTTTGCAGAGTAAGTCAATTAAATTCTGCAGAAGACACTCTGGATAGTGCGAACTATAAGTATGAGAAGTCAGAGCCTAAGCTGGAAAGCATGAAAGCATCAGCTGAAAGTGTCCATTTTAGTACTAGTTAAATTACTTTTTCTCTACACTGTATAGAAATCAACATGTACATTTTATTTCTAGTTTAAAGTCTCCTAATTTGTTTCTTCAGTGATAAAAAAGCTGGCTGCCTTTCACTGATATGTGAACTTATGGATATGAATATTTATGAGCTGATAAAAGGTATGTGGCATATGCTTAAGCAGACAAACTCTCCTTGTGTAGACTACAAAGTGGAATTAATTATATTCTCTTCACTCTTCCACGTTCTGAATTTTGTAGTGAAATTTTGTGCTGTACTGATTTACTCTCTTTCATCTACCCAGTTGTTTAAAGCATGGATGCATGCCGAAGGTTTCTAAAGAGTCAGGTCAGTGCCCCTCTATTTCTGCAGTCAAACTTTACATGACAACTTGGAAACGACCTTGACTACAAAAAAAGTGGCTTTATATAACAAAAAATGCAAACTGAACAGGCTTTTGTTAGGTCAGGACTGCAATGAAACAACTTGAGAATGATTGCAGTTTGTTTTAAACATCGCTCAGTAACGCTTCTCCACTTTTCAGTGAACATTTTTCACTGGAAACACCCATTGTGAAGAATTCTGAAAGTGGCTGTGAAAGCAGGTGGGATGCCACAGGGCTTAAGGAAGCATTCCTACAGAAGGAACAAAAGCTGATTTAAGAAAGGATCTGTAGACACCAAAGGAGTTGGTTACAATAACCGAGTGGCACTTACTTACAATTTCAGTAGTCAAAGAGGATTTTTTGGTGGAGTTATTTAAAATTTTATTGTCTTTACAGCTGGGTGATTCATTTAAGTAACTCAACACGTGTGTTCTGGTTTTAGTGTTTGGTTAATTAGTTGGTTTTTTTGTTTCTAATTTTAAAACTCAGTGTGTGGGGGTATCAGTGACAACCAGCCTTGCCTTTGCTTCCGTCAGAACACTTTGGTCATTTAAAATGAGGAAGTAAATAAGGCTCAGAGAGAGGTGAGGAAGATATTCAGAGTAGTAAAGACTTGCTCTCACGCTGTATCTGTGACACTGAGTGTTCAGATCGCTACAGATCTGAGATTAAAATAGAGTTGTTTGACTCCACTGATCAAAGAAACAAACATGAATAATTGCTGGTTCTATTAAGGCTTTTTTTCTTTTTTTTCCATGATGAATTTCTGAAGTTAAGTCAGATGAGTAGCTGAGTGCAGGAAAGAGCCCTCACTGATACGAATTTAGTTCAGCACATTAACAACAAACTTCCTTTTTCCCCCTCTAGGAACTATGCTACAATTGTGGAAGAAGTGAATGTATGGATTTGCTCTTTAAATGCCTTTATTTTTTTCTTTACCCCAGAGCACTTGCTTTCTGTGTGTGTGTGTGTTTTTTAATGTGAAAAACCTGCTATATTAGGCATTGAACACAGATGGAAATTATTTTAGTGGTTTCGATGTGTTCTGGTTTTAGTGTTTGGTTAATTAGTTGTTTTTTGTTTTTAATTTGAAACCAGCAAGATTGCTTTCCAGGTAGGTTTTCTTTGTTTGTTTGCTTCAGAAAATAACTTTGGTGGTTTCACAGTAGGCATCACTGGTTTCCTATGGAGCAAAAGTTGAGCCTACCATTTTGTTCCCTCTGTTACACTGACAGATTCCTGTTAGTTCAGTTAAGGCTGTTTGTGTATACATGAAGCCATCGTTCTCTTGCTCTCAGTGTGTGGGGGTATCAGTGACAACCAGCCTTGCCTTTGCTTCAGTCAGAACATTTTGGTCATTGGAGGGAGTAAATAAGGCTCAGAGAGAGGTGAGGAAAGATGCCCCAAAGAAAAATGACTGCAGCTTCCTAATGCTGCCTTCTTATGGCTTGCTTCGTAATGGCTTCCCAGTAAGCTTTCTGCAGTGATAAATCTGAAAGTAGAAGAGCATCTGCTCCAGATTTTAGTAGTGACCTGTGAAGAGGAAAAGACAACTGAGCACGACTTCTTTTCATGAAGGTTTGGTTTCTTAAATACTACCAGTAATCAGAGTTGGTTTGAATGGCCAAATCTTTTAACATCTTTTCTACTGAAAACAGCAAAAATCCTGATGTTGAAACACCATCTCTTTCCACTGGGGTAAGAATATGACATTCCTGATGTGAGTGTGCTCAGTTTCCAGCACCCCGTGAGCTGATCCCGCTCAGTGCATTACAGAGGCAGACTGGAGTCCCCACCTCCTGCCCCACCTGTTACCCACGCTGATGGCAGAGGGCACAGGCCTACCTGCTTTGGTTTGCAAAAATGTGATCACTTCTGCCACTGCTGACAACATTGCAGCATTATATAAAGGTATTACAGTGAGATTAAAAGGCCTTTGGAGCCTATAAAAGAAAAAGGCCCAGTAGTTACTGTAGGGCTCTGTAAAGTAGATGCATTTTATAACTGTCATTATGGTGCAACAGCAAGCAGCTATCTGGGTTAACCTGTAATTCGCAAGTCAATAGTGAATCACAGACATTTAAACATCACGCTAATTTGAGGTGATGGATAGGAATCATGAACCTGAAGGCCTGTCACTTTTTTTTAGAAAGGAAATCAGACGTTTAGAAGTGAAATACTGGAGTTCTGTCAGAATTTGGAGATGCAGATAATGGAAGAAAAACAGGCAGTAAAAGTTAAGGCTGTTTACAGACTTGAACTGACAGTTATGTTAGCCCAACCACTCTGGTTCTCACTGAAATTTAAATTATGCTTGAATTTGAGTGGAAAATGGATTACAAAGCTAGCTTTAAATGACAGAAATAACATAACTGGAAATGTAATGTCAGTGCATTATTGGAAGCTGAAGAGTATTTCCTGATATTCTCTTGTTTGCTAAAAATGACCTGGACAACTTGAAATTTAATTCTAGGACGGAGAAAGCCATTATCTGAGAAAAAAATAAAGAACTACATGTACCAGTTATGCAAATCTCTTGATCACATACATAGGTAAGAGACCAGGCACAGCAACACCTTTGCAGTAAATGCATCATTCACTGATTTTGGGGTCATTGCTAAGTAGATCCACACAAATACCTGAGGCAGCAGACTGCTGCAGGGTGAAAAAAGGACATTGCCCAGGTGCAAGCTGGTGCCAATGCTTTGCCAGCACCTGAGGGGAGCTGCAGGAAGCCCTTCTGGGAGCGTGGGGGCCATTCCCATCCTTTTGTAACCACGAGAGCAGAAGTAGAAAGCTTGACCTCCCCTTCCTCCACTTACCCTTTCCCCATTCCCATACCTGCAGCTCTTGTCCCACTGTGGTGGTAAAATTAACTTTTTACTCTGCTGTTGGTAGGGCTGATGGAAGTGTTAGTTACTTTATGGTTGATTTGCTTGGTTGGTTTTTGTTTGTTTTACAAATAAGTGGAAGCACCGATAGTATTTATCTTTGCACTGAACTCTTCTCTCTGATGTGTTTATATTGGTACAGAAATGGGATATTTCACAGAGATGTGAAACCAGAAAACATATTAATAAAGGTAATGCATTTTGTGTGGAGAATATTTAACTGAAAATGAAATGTATTGGTGTATTTTTGTTTATGCTGAGAAAGTAATACTTCCTTAGGAATAGAAGCACAGTTTTTATTTTATATATATATAACGTTGTTATATATTATATAAGATCATATATACTTACATAAGTAACTATATATGATCTTATTATAATATTTATGTTATATATAAAAATATATAAAGATTATATAATTCATATTAATTACATAAAATTGCCTCTGATGCTTCATCCTAATCTAGAGGAATGAAGGAACAAGCACAAACCTGAGGCAGATCAGCTGTGTTAGAGCCTCCTGTGTCCGTGCCCATGTGTCAAAGCCCCGAGGCCAGGCTGGATGGGGCTTTGAGCAGCCTGCTCTAAGGGAAGGTACCCCTGCCTCTAGCAGGGAGGTTGGAACTGGATGATCTTAAAAGTCCCTTCCAGCCCAAACCATTCTGTGATTCTATGACAATTCTCTGCCAATCTGCAAAATGATCCTTAATCGTGTATATTTTCCTCTGTGTTTATTTAGAGATGAGCAGTGGGGTTCAGTTCTGCATCTTTCTTTCTAGGTTTAATCTCTAAGTGGAAGCTACTCCTAAGGAAGAGAGCAGAAGATAGTAGCTTTCAGATGATTTCTTCATTGAAATCTATTCTCTCACCAGTTCCAGAATGTTGTTTTGCTAATGTCTGAAAAACAAGGATTTTATAATCCAGTTGATGAAACTTTATTTTCTGGAGATAATTTTTTCTTTTCTATATCATAGAAGCATACAGGAGAGAACTGTTGCAAAAGGAAGCTGAAACCATCCATTACATCACTGCTAAACGCAAGAAGTCAAAGAAAATCACTTAATCCAGATGTCCTATTTAGCAGGCTTCCTTTCAGTAATTGTCCATATGCTTTTCAATTAACTCTTAGCTCTGCCTTTTAATGAGGTAGAAAAGCAGTTCTTCATATTGTGGGACACAGATCTCTTCAACTCTTGGAGCTGTGTGCTATTTAAATGCAGTTTTACTGCTACAACACTCCCCTTGGGCTTTCTGATATTTTATTCTTGAAGTAATCTGTGATTTCTTTTATAGCGACTACTTCAGATGTGTCAGGAAAATCCTTGCCTGAATATTTCCGTGTTTCTAAATTCAAGATACTTTGTTTTTGCAGCAGAATACCCTGAAGTTAGCAGATTTTGGATCTTGTAGGATGATACATTCTAAGCAGCCATACACAGAATATATCTCCACACGCTGGTACCGAGCACCTGAATGCTTGCTTACAAATGGCTGCTATAGCTACAAAATGGATGTATGGAGTGCTGGCTGTGTTTTCTATGAAATCACAAGGTACCGTGTTCAGTGGAGGGTCTTGCTTATTGATATCAGGAAAATCAAAGGTAAATAACTGAAATAAGGAGCACGTGGTAAAGATAATTTGGTCTTTGTTTCCACCATTTCGTGGAACTTTACTGCATGATCAGTCTGCAGGGCTGATGAGGCAGCAATCATCCCTTGTCTGGTACTCCGTTCACCTTATTGTGCCAGTAGTAAAGCAGCAAGCTGTTTGGGAAAACATCATACCCATTACAAAATAGTTACAAGGAGAATAACGTTGTTGAACAGTCCCCTGCTCCCAGGCCTCTGTCTTCATATTTGAATTTCACAGGACTGTACTTTATCTGCCGTGTCTCTGAAGTACAGCTCAAGTCCTGGCATGGCTATCACTAGTTATCCTCAGCCTTTGTTCATACACTTGATGGCAGATTTTCCCCTTTTTTCATGACTTCCGTGAGCACAGAAGATCAGTGAAGGCGCTCCCTTGCACAACTAGTTGGTGTAGGAAGGGTCGTTCAAGACCCTTGAGCCATGCCAGAACCTTCTGTCCTGGGATGTTTTCAAGTTGGGTTCCGGTGAAGGAGGTGTTCAGAAAACAATGGATTACAGTCCTATAGGACCATCAAAGATGATAAAACCATAACTCAGTGAAATTGTCCTTGGTCTTCAGAAAACAAAAAACTAACAACCACCATGACTATTTCTCCAGTATCTCTGTGCCATAGCAACAGCAGCAGTTCTCTATTCTCCTCCCACACTGCTGCAACCAGGAGTGGTAACATTTGCTTTTCTCCTTCCTCCTCCTCCACATGGCAGGCGCAGCTGCTGCCATCACATTAAATGACAACTCCTGTGCTTTGGCTGCTAACTTGCAGAAACAGTCCTCATTCGCTCAGAAAACTGTTAACTGAAAAATTCCAAATGCGGTGGTTCTCTTGCAAAGTAAATTGGGAACAAATGTTTTAAAAATGCCGTGTTTTCCCATTCCAGTTTGAATTGGTGTGCTTTGAAGTTTTGCAAGAAAATTACACACTGCAAATGAGACATTTCCTCCTAATTTTAGCTTAATGTAACAAATTTCAGTCTTTGCAACCACTGCATATTTCCAGAGACCCAATAGATGTGTTCAGAAAGAAATGAGGAATGTTCCTTGGAAATAAGTGAATTTTCAAAAGTACAGCTTTGCCAAGCTGAAGGAAGTTATGGACAGGTTTGTTTCTTCTTAAGAGGATCTTGCAGTTTTTGCTGTTGAACATTTGCCAAAGTCTACGCTTGAGACCACATTTTTGGAAGAATCTTTTAATTGTACTCAGTCACATTTGTCTTTCAAGTCTTCTCCCCTTCTCTACTCCTCATAAACCTGCGGTCCTGGATTGCTGAGGATTCCTTCCCTTTGTGCACTTGTCATTCCTTCAGTTGTAGGTTACACTTCGAGATGGTGCATTTTTGACATTTTTGTCATTCACACAAAAGCCACTCCCACTCCTGCTTGAATTGTGAGATACTGCTGTGCAACGGGAATCAAATCTCTTTTTCTCCTTCCTCTCAAAGCCTTACAAAGACATTCAGAGAGGTGAGCAGACAGCTGTTGGATTGAATTTACCAACAGTTAATAGAAGTTTTTCCCTTCTACAAAGGGGGCTGAATGTTTTGCTTTCAAGAACCAAGTGGTGCTAAGGAGGAAGCATTTCTTAAAATTATGTGCCAAATGAAATGTTCTGCCTGCATGGAAGAGGGGAACATATGCAAGAATTGAATGTTAGTGGACCTAACTTGTTGAGTCAGATTGCTCTATTGATAACAACGTGTTCAAGGACTATTTGCAAGTTTTATATTAACTGAGGATAAGGCTCAGGAATGTAGTTCAAATTACCATCTCTCCAGTGCTGCTGCTTGAAAAGAACCTGGGTGTAGGAATGGAATGTTTCTTATAAATATGTATTTGTGCATACACAGCAAAAGGGAATGCTTGGTTTTGCTGACTTAAAAGGAGGAAAACACTCTGTTTTATGGGATCTGCAACTATGCTAGAACAAAATCCTATATGCATTACCTTTCACAAAGAGGGATGTTGTCCTTACGTATTTCACCCCAACCCTGTGAGGAAAGGACAACTATAGATTTCTGTTCAATAATGCAAACTTCCTTTTCAATTAAAAAACGCAGCTGTAGTAATGTGCTGCTCACATATTGTCCTGTAATTGTTGGCTGGTATTAAAACTGTTCACAAATAAATAATCCTACAGTTTATCTTTCTCTTAAATGAAGGAAAAAACCAACAACAATCGGTGACAGTGGTGTCACTTAAACTAGTTTAACTAACTGTGGTGTAATGCTACTACCACCTCTTGCTTTGCAGTTTTCAGCCTCTCTTTCCTGGATCTAATGATCTAGACCACATTTCAAAAATCCATGATGTGATAGGCACTCCTGCCAACAGAACTCTCAGCAAGTTCAAGCAGTAAGTATGCATTCTCATAGTTACTAATCTCAGTGGTTAAATATCCAAAATACAACTGTACAGCTGGGATGTTTCTGGGCAGAGAAGCGCCACCAAATTCTACTTGTGTTGTGACAGCTGCTGACCAAAGAGCGTTGTCTGCTTTCTACCCCTCTTCCCCAGAGACCGTCACACATCTGTGATTCTTGTAGGCACAGCAGAAGAAATCTGAGCTTAGAACAATCTTATTTGGCCTTTTTTCCCCCCATACTTGCTTAAGGCCAATGACATGACTTGTTAGGAAAGAAGATGTTTTGTCCAATATTACTTATTTTCCCCTAACAATTGATTTCCTAACTCTGATTTTTTTTTTTCAAGTGTAAGTTGCAACTTTGCTGCGAATATTTATGAGTAACTGTTCTCAACTTGCTTAACACAGGTCAACAATTTTGAATTTTCATTTCCCTTTTAAAAAAGGAAAAGGGATACCTCCTCCAGTGCACAGTTTATCTGCTAGAGGATTAACTCTCCTGTACGCAATGATAACATACGATCCTGAGGAGAGAACTGCTGCCCATCAAGCATTGCAGCATCCTTATTTTCAGGAGCTCTGGCAAGTGACTTGAAATAATTTCAATCTTGAACACTAAGATCAGGAAGTGGAAGAACACTGTGTGCTTATTATTTCAAGTGGATTGAAGTGAACTTTGCTAATGGTGCTGATACTTAGCTTTTGCAATACAATGAAATATCAGTCAACATAATTCTTTGCACTAAGTCCGAACTTCACTTAAAGCATAACTGACATTTTCTCTCTTTTCTTCTTCTTTTTGCCCCAACCTTTTTAGGGCAGCTGATACACAAGCGTTGGCCACGCACAAAAAAGTAAGATTACTAGAAAATACAGTAGGGCCAGTGCCTCTGCATTTGTGGCAAATTTCAAAGGGAAGTCAAGGAGAGGTAATATTTACATGGAAGCAATGACAGTCCATTTCGAGAAAGTAATTTGTGAGACTGAGCTTGTTAGCTAGAAACAAATGTTTTAGTTAAGCTGATTACTTGGTTTTACTCAGTCTGTCCCAAACCAATCTTCATTGGGTCTGGAGCAGAACTCCATCCCCTCTAACTGCAACAAATGAGTTAGAATTTAAAAGCTGTGACACAGCATAATGCCTTTGACAGAGAGTTTTCATAGGTGCTGCTATTTAGGAAGTCAATGCCTCATTTTTCAAATTATGTTCTTCATTTCTTCCAATTTACCCCTGAGTTTAAAACAAAAAAGTTTTTCAGATACATTTTCTGTTCTCTGCTCAAACTTCATTTTTGCCTTTCAAGGCCTTCAGTCTGCGTACGTTTTTTTGGTTGTCTTCTTTTTTAACAGTGTTATTCCATGTTCAGCTGATATCCAGACAAATCTTGAACTTATATTCGACTCAGAAAATCAGCAAATTAAAATTGGATTCAAAATTCTGTCTACTAAAACTCTGTAGTCAAATAACGTGAAAATACCCAACAAAAGCGCTCTTAGAATTCAATGTATCCGAAAAGTGAGACAGAAATTGGTACTGCATGCAAAAACTCTCAAGTGCAGCTTTGTCACAAAAACAACAAAAAAAGCAATCACTATGAAAATATCTGTGCATCCAATATTGAAAGCTTTAGTTCTTCTTCCATAGCATCAGACACGTTTTTCCACTTTAGTTCCTGGGTTAATCAATGTGAGCTTTGTGAGAATTTCCGTAAGGAAAAAATTGCACAAAGCATCTCATGGGGTAGTAATTAAAAAACAAAAATGAACAAACAACAACAAACAAACAAACACACCAAAATAGTATTTGATTTGTTTTGTTTTCTCTAAGATGTCCTGAGAGAAATTAAACGTTATTTCTCTGTCCTAAAAGCATTCTCTTAGGAAAGCCCAGGATAAAGCAAAACGTCAGCATGGATTTCCTTGTGGAGAGCTACCAATGTTAAGACCCTCTGGAGCAGCTAACTTGCCTTCCCCTCCTACACCTACTTCGCAGTCAGTTTTTCCTGCAGCTAAGAAAAGTGGTGCAACCTCTGTGCTGCAGTCTGTTAGATTTATTGGATCCAGTATGGAGGTACAGATTCTCACTTGCTCATTAGAGTATAACAAGATAGGCTTTATGGAGCATATTTTAAACTTCTGTTGTTTCTTCAACAGTCTGAGAAACAGAAGACCCTTAAGTCTTCCCTAAAACATTACCACTTACCTGCTATAGAACGAAGAGGAGAAGGTTACTGGCCATTTTAAGGTATTGAGAGTGTGAAGAAAAACAAGAGTATGCAGTGATCACTGTTAGAGATCCAACAAGAACAACAATGCCTTATTTTGTGCTTTTCTGACAATTGTCAGAAACCTCCCAGAGCTATAAAGGGCTGCTCACCTAATGCTTTGTGTTCTGCTACCGAAGATGATCGATGTTTAATTAAACACTCTGCATTGGACTTTCTAAATATATATATTTTTTCCTTTTAGAACCCGACAGAAGAAGGGATTGGTTAAAAATAACGAGAGGATTTGATGAGGTTCAGTATTAGGAATGGAACGTTGTCCACAGAATACAGGGTTTCATATTAGATAATAAATGACTGCTAACTTCTGGAAAGTATTTACTTCCTGTATTCAATGACTTCAACCTCAAGCTTTACCGAGAACTTGCAGATTATACAAACATATGTTTGATTTTGATCAAGTCAGCATAACTGGTCAACATTTTTATATACCCACCAGTTAAAAGGGTAAGCAACTTTTTATCTGATTCAAGAGCAAACCAGCTAAGACTCTGCTCACATACTTGTCTTAGCAGAGGAACTGCAGTCCAACAGTAGATCAGAGAAAAGGGAGACTTAAACAGCAGAATGCAACGGCACAGGTAGGTGCTGTTTCTCCTTTTAGTTGAAAGTCGTACTGAGGAAGGTCATCTTCTTCCTACTTCTAAGTAGAAAATAATTCCTAACCACGATTATATCAGAAGTGAGTGTGAATACATGAAGACACGGTGACCAGCTGAGTTATACTGTCCTGCTGCTGACAGTCATCTTTGTTTGTGAGAGGTTCATACTGTTGAAACCAAACAGGTGGAGAGCTTGAGCGGTAATAAGGCAATCCAACATTTGTTTGAATTTCTAGCATTGGTTTATATTAAAAAAAATAATAAATTAAAAGGTGTGATGCTGAGCTTAGGAAAAGGAATGAAGGACTGCAGCTCTACAGGCAACAAAGTACAAACAGTAACCTCCAACATTTTACATTTTCTGCTCTGAGCTTATCCGGTGGTTTGTGCTTTTTTTCCTCAAGAGCAGATGGTGAAAAAAGGTTATCCGACTTTGTATATCACAGCAATTTTCTCTCACATCAGTATTTGAGGCTGTTGGCCTGTTAGAATAAAGAAAAAGCAATTCAGCAGATTGCTTTTGCTATGAAAATTGGGTATTTCATATGAAGCACCACTGTGGAATGTTTTCTTCATTTATTTTAAGCTTTCAGGTGGATCTTGCACATTTGGGCACATACAGTGTTTCATGGACGTTTATTTAATAGCAAGTTCCTTACTATTCTTCTGGAAACCAAATATAGTTCTCTGACTGTTGGACTGGTGGGCAAACCTGAGTTTTCCCACTTGCTTTCTAGTTAAAACACATTCAACTTTAAAATATAAATTGGCAAGCAATCCTTCCAGCTAAAGTTCTGCATTGAGACCATCTCTTTCATTATTTAATTTGCTTTAACCTACAGCTATATTTTCCTACCATGTTAAGAGCTATGCTTTTTATAGAACTCGACATTATTTCCAGGTAAGTTGTTTTCTTCCTAAAATCAGTTTTCCCATATTGAAGAAAGGATGGGGGGTGGAAGGCTTCCAGATGATTGCCCAGTGGTAGAGATACTGCAAAAAACCAGAAGCACACACGGACTCCTTCTTTGCTATTCAACTATGATTTGTAGCAGGACGTGCTCTGCAAACAGGTATGTAAGTAGCTGCTGTTATTACCCTGATGTTGGATGCTATGATCCTTATGGTACTGTTGTTGGTTTTTTTTTCCTACAGCTGGTAAACTACAAAAAGTCCTTTAAAGGCCTTTATTACATCTTTTCCTCAGCTGTTTCACTTTGACTCAAACAGTATGAAGCACTCATACAAAGAACTCTCCAGGGAGGTAACTGCATTAGTTTTCAGTGACAAGGTTTATCTGTATTTTAACAGCTAAGCCCAATACGTTAATAAAACAGAACTTCTGAACAATAATGCTGCTCAGTTTCAGTATTTTCCCCATTCCTTCTATTTTAGAAAACCCCAAGTATATAAGAGTTGTAAAGTACAGTTCTGTCTTTAAATGATGTAGACAATCCAAATGCCAGTTTATAAATACAGCTGGCACTTCTTTATGTGCCAGCTGCATGACGAGAATAAGAGATGTAGTTACAAGCAGCTATGCAGTTGTTTCTCTCCAGGTTTTCATTCATCTCCTGCCTAAAGGTGCCTAATGGTTACTTGCAATTAAAAGCATTCCAACCCAGCTACGTGGCTGGGAGCAGGACGGGCAGTTGGTCGCTGAATTACGGCCTCATGCACAGCTCCTGCCTACTGTCAGGCACGCTGCACTCTCAGGCTTGTGGCCTCAGCTCTGCTCTGCTGACCCAATGCCCATCTGCAAGACTGGCCAAGAGGCTGCGTGTTTCTGCTCAGCACTGAGAGATGCCAGGGACGCGGGTCATTGCTTGGGATGAAACAGCAGCTCTCTTTTTTTCAATCTTTGCAAGAAATGCCAAAAAACAGTTGAAATGTTCTGTTGCCAGTGACTTGTGTTTAGACAAGCAGCATTGAACTGTACAAATGCGTGAGGTGCACTTCCATAATAGTTATCAGTTTAAAACTGTTGAATTGTAAACGAGATGCCTCTAAGAGGGAACAACAAGTTGTCTTCTTCTGCATGCTGACATCATTTTAAGTTTGCCAGGTCAGAAGGTGGCTGTCTGCTGGATTATTCACTTCTAAACTCCCAGACAAACAGGCAGCATTACGGGATTACAGAATCCTCACCCCACAAAGCTGTCTGCGAGATTTCCGCTGCCTGATGTGCTTTGAGATCAACCATGAAGAATGAGAACGGACCAAAGTTACTTCATTTTCCTAGTCAAAATTCAACTATATTAAACATGAAGCAATGTTCCAGGTGAGATTTTTTAAAAGGAATTTGTTCTACAAAGTTTATATTATATTTCTGTACCAAACATTTAATTCAACAAAGGATTGATTACATCAAAACGGATCAAATTTGAACAGAAAGTAAACAAAAATGCATATTCAAGATAGTTTAATATGTATTTTCTGAATTAGAAATATCACTTTCTTAAATGACTGAGTTTCTAGTGTAATGATCCATTAATCCCCTCCCCGTCACTGAATTACATTATTTATACATATAATACAGAGCTGATTGCAGTTGGAAACAACAATATTAAAATAAATGTTTAATAGATACAAAGGATCTTCTCTCCACAACATAGTTTTTCTGGTGTTTAGACACCGATTTTAAAGTAATTTTCTATTAGCATTAAACTATTTAAGTGCAAAACAATTCTGTTTTAAAAATCTATGATTGCAGCATCCATCTTCCTGAATAACATTTGAAGCCGGAAAGTAATGACTTTCATGTTCTATGAGTGCATTCCAGGCTGTCCTCTCGCCACCTCTGGTTAAAAAAATCAGTGCAAAATAAACAATGGTGAAGTACTAATTTAACCATTGAACTTACTTCAATTTAAGAAACATACTTTATTTTACACTATATATATTTTTATTTATATATTTATATATAGAGATTAAATTACACTGGACTTCAAAAGTATAAAGAAAACCAAAAATGTTACTGTATTTTTTACCGCAGCACCAAAGGAAGCTTTTTTTTTCAAATGAAAACTTCCTTGGGTGAGCAGCTAGCAGTATTAGCTGTAATAAGAACTCATTACATTATTCCTTTTCAAATTACTATGTGATTCACATAATTCCATGTTTACACTCTGCCACATTATAATTTGTGATGCTCTTTGCCTGAAGAACGGCTCCTGGTTCCATTGCCATTACTTCTTGTCCTGTGTTCAGAGATTTGCTAGCAGTAGTGTGGTGGCTATACTACAGTTCCACTTGGAGAATTGGCCTGGTTTTGGGATGACAATAAACCCTGCAAACAAAGCAGTTTACATTAATCCAGCAAGAGAACCTGAGAGTACTTTTATAAAATTATTAGCCTGAAGCTAAAATTAGTACAATTTAGTTTTACCACCACTTGCTTACTGAAGGTACCAGCACCTCCTTCCCCACAAAAGAATCTCAGCCACTATGGTATCAGTCAGCAGCACACAGAAGAGCTTTCAGTACGTCAGGACGCGTGTGCATTTCAGACGCGTGGTGCACAGGATTCCAGCACTGGGTTTCAGTCTGCCTTGCGCCCCAAAGATGGTACACCAAAAAGCGATCGTTTTGGGGGGGTCAACAAACGAATCTGGTTCAGGAGCAGCAAGGTTGACAACTAACCTGATACAGGAGAACGTTCAGTCTCATATGCTATTGAACATTACAAGCTTTAAACAGAAAACTAGGTTCTCTAACCGAATACTGAGTTACTTATGTCATCATAAGGAGAAGGACACACTGAGTCAGAGTTCAGTGCAATTTCCCATTACAACTTAAGCTTGTGTTCAGAACTTATTTAATCTGCAGTGCCATTCTAATAAGATGAGACTTTATTCCAAGTGTAATTCTGCTCCTGTGTGGCAGCCCTAGCTCAGCAGGGGCTACCGTTCTGAGTTAAGGCAGCCAAACCAGGGGCAAAAGACCCCACTCTCGATGTATGTGTAGTAGTCCCTTTTTATTTATTCACATAAAAGGAACCATACACCAGTTATTTAGGAAAAGCTTAATATCTAATTACAATTTCATTTTCTTGCATTGTCACTATTTACTTAGAACTGCCAGCAGACTCACACAATGGCAGCTAAGCTGGAAGCACACCAGTGACCATCGCGGTGCCACTTGCACTACACGGTGGGCATGATAAATGCACTTTTACCAATTCCTCTCAATAGCTACCAGCTTAGTTTCTTACCTCAAAAATAAAGTTCCTGTGACTCATCAAAGCCGACAGGTTTGGGCAGCAGTTAACACACAGTGCAGAATTAGGTCACATCTTTAGAATCTACAGGAGCTCTTTCTTGCTTGGGCTGCAGAACTGAAAAGTCACTACTGATGGAGAAATATCCTGACCACAGACAGGGGTGGAAAGGGGACTGGATGGGCTGGGTTCAACTCAGAGACGCTGCATTTTCAGTAAGAAGAAAAAGTTTCATTATTATTATTTACGGAGTAACGAGAAGGCACACTTTTAAAAGCAAACAAGATACTGAAGCACTCCTGACAGTTTTTACCAAGAAAGGTTTCAAAGCAAGGAAGACGAAACACAACTCTACAGTTTGTTTACCGAAGCCTTCTTCAGAAGTCAATTATATCCAGCAACAACTGGAACATCTGTCTTGCAAGATTACATCCACTAAGCAAGTTTCATGTACCCTGGAAAAAGATGTCCAAAAAGTATTATTGTAAATCTTCAATAAGAAGGACAAATGGTTCATATGCAAATAATGTGCTTTATAAGCACACAGAAAATAGTAGGGATCTTTCAGGAGGATCAAGCTCAAGCAAAGAGAAATAAGCACTATTCTAATACTGCATTTGTAATGCAACCATAATTGAGAAATGAAGAGTCATTTATTTTCCCACAGCTCCTGCAGAAACCGGTAGCAAGTGCTGAAATGCAGTGCGGTGCCTGATTCCCCAGTGACTACAACCAGCTCTGGAACACATAAGTTCTAAGACCAGGCACACAGATTCTCAGCCCTGTTTTCATCTTCCACGCTGTGCATATTCCCTGCAAGCAAAGCCCACACAGCTGGCACACGAGCAGCCCTTGTTCTAAATGATTCCTGCATCTGTGAGCAGGCAGGGCACAGGGACACCAAACTGCAGAGAACGTTATGATCGATGCGTGTACACATCCTAAAACTTAGCAAGTATCTTCTTCAAACATGACCAAGTTACAGCAGTGCAATCGCTATCCCAACATTCACTTCCGTGCCACTGGTCAGTGTTGCGAGTTCCTCTGAACACTTAGTCTTCCAAAATCATCTCAGACCACGGATGTTCATACAAGGAAAGCAAGAAGGTCAGGGCTTCAGGTGTGAAAGTTTCATAGAGGAAGGTAAGAATTTAAGAATTCCAGGTAGGTCCTGAGTAGCAAGAAAGATTCTGTGGAGCTCTGCCACAACAAAGCAGCTTTAGGAAGTCTTGTTTAGAAAAGCATGCGACAGCTCCCAAAAGTTTTGGTACAAAAACTACCATGTCAGACTGCGATCTGTAATACAAAGGCTGTGGGACTGCAATATTTCAACTGACATTCTCCAGGAAAAAGGTTGTAACAACCTCAAAGTTCCCTTGTGGAAACAAAGGATGAAGGGATCAGAGCACAGCGCTTTCTGTGGTGAAACCACCCAGCCTGGGCAGGCGGGTGCTGAAGCACGGAACAAAACCTGCAGCACCTCATTAGAGCAACAGAAACACTGCTGCTTAATAGCTGTGACAGAAAAAGTGAATAATGGAGATAACGCAGCTTCAGATCCGCTGCGCCGAAGAGCACATAGCGCACATCAGCCTAGCTTAAGAACAAACAGACCGTGCTCAGCATGCAACACAGACAAATCAAGAGATTGTTCAGAAAAGTTTTGAAAATAAATGCAGTCTTTTATTAGCACTGTTATTCTGTCAGCACGTGATGTTGGCAGGGGGCGAGAAACAGAGCAGTTATGAAACTCAAGTCAGGAATTGGATAGGACCACCTTCATCAGAACCTCAGAGAGAGCCCCAAGGAGGTGCTGCATCATTGCTGTTCCACTGGGCCTCTTTGGCAGAGGGCTGGGTTGTTTTTCTGCCATCAGCAACGTGGGAGCATCACACGTGCAGTCTCAGGGCACGCTGCCACACCACATTGATCCACACGTTCTCTGGCTTCCCGAAACACACAGCGCTTTGTGTATTCAGTAAAAACTTTGAAGGCATCAATAGGGTTGCGTGGGAATAAAAAGTGTAACAAACGCCATCAAAATGACCATTTCCATCCAAATGCACAGTGCTCAGCCCTGTGGTCTGCTCAGAAAGCCCTGCAGAGGCCAGCCCTCACGATTCCTGAGATGGCAGGGAGTTGTTTTTAAGATCTGTTTTTTTTTCCTCAATTACATGTAACACAAAGTTTCCTAACAGAAACTTTGAGAATAGCGTGAAAGATCAGGATGAGACAGCTGATGGGAAAAACACATCAGGAAGACACAGCTAATCAGAATAAAAGCTATCAATAGCGACAGAGTTGATATTTTCTTTATGTAAATTAGAACAGCACTAATTGGAGCCAAAGGTGTCACTGATGTAGACAGCAAACTGCACATTTGGACACATGGTCAAGTCACCGTAAAGCTGCTGCCTGTGTGTGAACGCACAGCTCTGTTACTGGATGCTAACATCAGCGAATGGGGAACTCGCTGGATGGCAGAGCTCTGCACAATTCTGCTTTGCTTGGAAATTGAAAAGTAGGTGAAAAAAGCAGCGAAGCAAACAGTCGAGTGCAAATACAACCAATGTGAAACTTTCTGGACGCACAGAGGCCAACAGGTCCCACAGTACACGTCACTAATGCAATTAGGCCAGCAACAAACAATAGCGGAGTTAACGAACACCCATGCAAAAATGCCATCGATCTGTTCTGTCATTACTGCTATTGCCAATATATGAAATAACAATTACTGGCAGAGCATTGCACACACAGTTCTTGTTCAGAACTGATATTCAGAGTCACCTGAAACAAAAAGTCATCCAGACTGAGCGCTTCACTTGACAAAAGTCCCACAGCCTAATCCCGCCTTTGAGCAATAATATGCTCCAACAAAATGAGATTTTTCACATCTGTTTAAAATCCTGCAGTCAAATCAGCTGAATTGGATTAAGATTAGTGTGAACAAATGGCCAACAGATTCTTCTCCAGATGAGTCAGCATTTATTAGCTTAAATCATTGAACTGCATATATTTACTAAATCAGATACTTAGTAAATCAGTCTCTGACAGAGTCAAAATTTATCACTGAAGAAGGTTAAGGAAGTTCCAAGGCAGTGCTTGCTGAACAGTAACAAAACCTGCTACAGAGAAACATTCTGTATGGAATTCAGCTATCAGTTTGG